GTAATTTACATCTTTTTGTGATTTTTTTTTCTCTTTTGTTTTCTTTTTTGCAGTTTTAAGCCAGTGGTTCTCAAGCTGTGGGTTGTGACCCCCTTTGGGTTGCATGTAGATAGTTGCATTACGGCTCATAACAGCAGCAAAATCACAGCTATGAAGTAGCAACGAAATAATGTTCTGGTTGGGGGTCACCACAGCATGAGGAACTGCGCTAAACGGTCACTGTGTTAGGAAGGTTGAGAACCGCTGTTGTTGTTGAGAGAATTGTGGGGTGGTCTGTAAAACACTTTTTTCTCTTGCAGAGAAAGATATAAAGGGCTATTGTTAACATGTTTATATTTTAATTTATTTTTTAATACATTATCTTGTTTCCTTTCCTTTGTTAGTACTTACAGACCTTTACAAAGGCTTCTTAGAATCATCCCTAGCTAAGGCTGACCTCAAACTCTAACTCAGCCTTGTAAGTGCTGGGATTATAGGCATGCACCACCACACCTGGCCTCTTTTCCATTTAGAAAATATTTCAAGAGGCCAGATCAAACAGACTTCAAAGAGAGCTCAACCATTACCTTCCAGCTGCCTAGGGACTAAAGTGTAATCTCTAGGACAATAATAATATCTTCTACTCCTATGCTACTGTGTACTTCTATCTGCTACAATTTAACAGATAAGAACGCTAAAACCCAGACACGATTAGCAACTCAATGTCTCAAAACAAGAGGCAAAGCTGTTTTTTTCCCTTGTTGTTTGTTTGTTTTCTGAGACAGAGTTTCTCTGTGTGGCCCTGGATGTCCTGGAACTGGCTCTGTAGACTAGGCTGACCCTGAACTCAGAGCTCCACCTGCCTCTGCCTCCTGAGTGCTGGAGTTAAAGGCCTGCGCCCTCCCCTACCTGGTGCAAAGCTGGAATTTTATTCTGAGTCCAAGCTTAGACAGAATTCACCAGTGCTGCTCATCATTCAGTAAAAAGCCTAAAGAACTCTCAAAGCACAGTCCATGATATCAGAGATGATGATGAATCTTATTAACACTTGAAGAATGCTGTTAGCATTTGCTGAGTTCTTGTGAGATACAATTCAAAGGGTTTTCACATGAAACCGCTCAATTGCATTAAACAAGTTAATCTTCCCGGCACCCCCCTGTGGTAGAACTATTATTATCTTTATATTGAAGGTGAGGAGACTGAGACATGCAGAGGAAATCCACTTCCAGAGGTCAGGCTTTTAACCGTTGTACTATGATACTTCTTAAGTACAAAAATTACATAGTGCAACAGTTTCTAAATGGAGCTGTGGGAGTTAATTACAGCCAACAGCAGAGGATAGCATTCACAGCACTCAGGCCCGTTGGTATCTTGGTAACAAAGGTCTTCAGAGCCTTAAATAAAACCTGCACACGTGAGCATCCAGCCCAGGAACTAAGTGAACTAAGTTTAGATCCTGTCTGCTCCAGGCCTCACTGGGCTTGTCCTTCTGTGAGATAAGACACAGCAGGGCACATCCTGGTTTGGTACAAACGGTGAGATAGTCCTGGTGGGGGTGGGGTGGGAGGAGGTGGAGGAGTCAGATGTGAAGAAGGAAGACCACCTAGGAATAAGCACAGAGTTAGGCTTCCACTGAGGCTCACCCAGGACCAGCCGGTTAATCCGAGGGAGAAGCTGAAAATCGGCCGCTTTCTTTAGCAAGAGCATTCAGTTACAATCCCAGCACATAATCCCCTTAGTGGGCTTTGTGTTTTTTTGAATCCGCCATTTGGCTGCATAGTGACCCTTGAACATATCTTCTCTTACAGCTTAGGTCTATAAGAAAACATTGGCTCAGCACCAAAACTCAACTTCTAAATGCCCTCAGTGACAGCGTATGTACAAATATAACCATCCCCAAACATTTGGTGCTTGAGTGCTTACCTCCCCCGCCACACACACACACTTGTTCCTTGGACATCCTGGCCACTGAGGGGTAAGACTGTAAAAGAAGCAGGTGTGGATTGGTTTAAGGTCGGAACAGTTGCCACCGATGCTCTGCCTCTTGTGTTCTGGGACAGTATTACTGCCCGGAGCCTTCAGATTTCCAAAAAGGAAATATTCTAAAGGAATTCTGTCCAGATACAGCTGTTGCCCCGGGGATTCCCAATTCCTCTTTTACAGTTGTGTTTTTTGGAGAAAAGAGATGAGGAAGGGGGTGGGGTGGGGGCCAGTAGGAAGTCTCCTTGAACAGTTCTAGGAACTTGCCAGAAGGCAGTGAGACTTCCCAGCCTCTCTCCCTTCTGACCTCAGCTGCCCCTTCCCTGGCCACTCTGCTGGCCACTCCCTGGCCACTCTGCTCTTCGTAAGCCTTTTGCTTGAATCATTTCCTCAGCAGGAGGCACTGTTGAGTCAATTCTAAGTCAAAGTGTTAAAATTAGCAAACCGACCTGGAAGGCATTTTGTTTATTTCAAGTTTGGTATTTTACTCAGGGGATAGGCTACAAGGCTCAAAGCAGAAGACTTCAAAGAGGAAGTTAGGTGTACTTCCTCATTTTCCAGTCCCCTAGAGTTTAGGTGTTAGGTGAAGGACAGGAAGAACAACTGCGCATGACACTTTCGTTGTCCCTGTCTGCCTTAGTTAGGGTTACTTATTGCTGTTATGACACATCATAACCAAAAGCAAGTTGGGGAGGAAAGCTCCCCCCTACCCCTTACACAACCATGTCATAGTCCATCACTGAAGGAAGTCAGGACGGGGACTCACACTGGGCAGGACCCTGGAGGCAGGAGCTGCTGCAGAGGCCATGGAGGGCTGCTGCTTCCTGGCTTGCTCCACCCATCACTAAATAAGAAAGCATCTCACAGGTCTGCCGACAGCCTGATCTTACGGAGGCATTTTCTCAACTTAAGTTCCCTCCTCTCAGATGACTCTAGGTTGAGTCAAGCTAACATAGAACCACCCAGCTCACCGTCACCACAGGTTTGATTGGAGAGCTGTTTATTTATCTGGAGGCCGGGGAAGCGGCTCAGCTGGTAAAAGTGCCTTCTGTACAAGCACGAGGAACTGAGTTTGCATCCCCAGCACCCATGGAGCAGCCAGGGGTGACAGCATGCTTGTGACTCCTACGCTGGAGAGCAGAGACAGGCAAGTCTCTGGGGCTTACGGACCAGACAGTCTAGTAGAATTCGTGAGTTCCAGGCTCAGTGAGAGACTCAGTCTCAAATAATAAGGTGGAGAGCAACTGAGGAAGACACCTGACCTTCACCTTCGGCCCCCACACCCAGATCACACATGTGCATGTTTGCCCACTCACATATGTGCTGTTTGTACCTAACAGAATGAAGATAGGCACGCGCACGCACACGCATGCACACACACACAGAGAAATATTTATTTGTCCTTAGCCAAGCCGGCGGTGTTTAGACAACCCGGGGTTTGCTCTTCTCTGGGAATGACGCAGGGAGTGACCATGACATTGTTGGCTAATGCTGTGCAGACCACACCTGTAAGTCAAATTCTAGGAAGGCAAGGTTGCAGAACACCCCTCCCCAGTTGCCCTCAGGCTGTGATTTTTGGAAGCACTGAAAGTACATGCTGGCTGTTGGACCTCCAGTGTTAGCTTGCGACTGTTAGAGGAAAACATGAATGACACGTTGTGGGCAGTTACCTTTCAAAAACAAGACAGAAAAGGTCAGCAGGCACTGCTCAGAGCCCGCTGGCTTGTGTTTATCCCCTGAATGGAAACTCAGGTGAAGATTTATCATGCTATCCAGAGGAAGCCACGATACTGTTTTCTCGCAAACTACCACCGGCTCCCTCCGGCATCTGTTCAATATTTAGTGTGAGAACGGCGGGAGGTTGATCCCACGCAAAGCAGCATATCATCTGCAAGGGGGTGTGGGCGACGAGCGATGACAAAGCCAGTGTTTAGAAAGCACTGCATGCAACTAAACACTTTATGCGTCTTAACTCACATAATCCCCGCAACAACCCGGAGGAAAACACTGCTACGGAGCAGGAATGGGCCTGCCCAAGTTAGCGAGTGGCGGGCAGCATCCAAACCTAACTTGCCTGGCCCCGGAGCTCGGTTCCTACTCATCAGGACCTTTTCTAAAATTGTAACGTGGACAACAAAACGCCCAACACACAGGCAAGAGAGACTTCTAACCAGACCGAGGGTGAAGGGAAGGTTTTATGGAGGGCTGACAGTTGTGAATTTTCAAGGTCAACGGGTGGAGAAAGGATGTAGGCAGACTTGGTCTCAGGGGACAGAGCAGCCTGACCTGACAGAAAGAAGCAGCAGCTTTGGTGTCTGCCAGTCGATGACACAGCTCACACGGGAGGAATGCTGCAGAGGGAGGCCTCGCCAGAGCCTTGAAGGTCCTTGAGGATTAGCCTCCTTCCCCGGAAAGGATCGGGGTGGGGTGGGAAAATTCTCAAACTAGCAGGGTCTCCCCTGCCAGCGATCAAGGCAGACAGCTCTCTTAGGTTTCTTTCTAGGGGGACACGGAGCGGAGACGGTCAAGGTCACCCACGCTGGACTCGGGTACAACGTGTCCAGGAGGACCACTAGAGTCCTGCGCACAAATGTAGGAAAACTGGCTGTCAGCCAGGCCTGGCTGGCTCAGGACCGTGGGCACCGCCGGGGCCTGGCGGGGACGAGCACCTGCTCGGCGGGTACAGAAAGACCTGGCCTCTGCTATTCCCACGGCGCGACACCGCCCCAGGTCTCCAGGCCGCAGAAGGTCAGGAGGCTGTCCTCTGGGGACTCCGCCACCCGCATCCTCCTCATCACCAAGGAATAAAAGCCTCAGCGATTGGTCCACGCTATGCCAATCACCCTAGTCTCGGCCCACACCTCCTCCGGTGTAAACGGCATTGGTTGCATCATACGAGCCTCCGATAAGATTCTCTTCTTGAATTGGGTAATAGAGCCTCGTCCCGCCTAACCCTTTTTTGTCACAAGGTCGTGATTGGTTAAGATCGTTGCCAAGCTCCGGACGCGGCTCGGTCATTGGGAGCCGCGGGCTGCCCCGCCCGCCGGTGAAGGTGAGAGTCTCCTCCAGTCGCCGCGCTCCGCACAGCACCGAGCAGCTCCGGGCTCGCGCTCGAGGTCTCGGCAGACTCCGTCACGATGGCGCCTCCGTCAGTCTTTGCCCAGGTTCCGCAGGCTCCCCCGGTTCTGGTCTTTAAGCTCACCGCGGACTTCCGGGAAGATCCACATCCCCTCAAGGTTAACCTCGGCGTGGGAGGTAAGGATGCACTGCCCTGGAATGCTCACCGCCAGGGGGGACCGTGGGAGGAGCCGAGGCTCCGTGTGCTGCCTCCCTGAGAGAGGACCTGGTAAACAAGGCTGAGACCACCGGGGCACCCGCCAGCCCACCGAGGTTGCAGATGGTGCTATGGGGTCCTTGGAAAGAGGCGGTGTGTTCAAGGTCACGCAGAACAGGTGTAGCATCTGGGACACAAACGTAGTTTTTCTGTTTCTGCGTTCTGCGTTCTTTATGGTACCTGTTCTAAAGCAGCGAGGCAGGCAGGGACTAGAAGGGGGGGGGGGCGGCGGAGAGAAGTCTGGTAGCATTGGGGGCATGCTCAGCCGGGAACTGGGAATGAGAGAGCTGTTAGCCTAATGCAGCTGTGGTCCGGGTCGTGTGAGCAGCAGGTACCAGTTAGGCAGCCAGTTAAGCCACGTGGGTGGGTGTGGGGGGGGGTAAGATCTAGGTTTGGTTTATTCCCAGAGTGAATGAGGTGAGTCAGATGAGTTGAAGCCCCGCCCGGGCCCCACTCATCTGGATCTTCATTGCCTGATTGTATTCCTTGAACCAGTTTAGCCTTCTGCTAGGGACTTTGGGTTGGAAGGGCTCTGAAACCCCTTTTCATTCGAGCCTCCAGAGAGAGAGCTTCTTGTAGCTGTCACTTCGATATTTGAGGCTCCACGGAGCTTGGTTTGCATTTGGCCACATACAGAGGCCAGCCAAGGAGAGAAGGGGGAGCCGGGGGAACTAGCCGGAACTGAAAGCGCTAGAAGGGCTGAAAGAAGAAAAGGGATTGTTTTGTAGCACGAGGGTGACATGAGGGGGATTCAGAATCAAGGTTCTTAGAGGAAGTGTGTGTACATAGCCCTGTTGACACACACACACACTTCATCAAGGAGCAGGAGAGGGAAAATCCTAAAGTGTTGCTTTATTGGTAGTGGATGATGGTGTGTGGGCGTAAGTACTATATACCACTTTCTCAACTTCTATGTATGTTTGGAACTTTTCAAAATAGAGCATTAAAAAGCCAGTGTTAACTTGTTTAGCCAGTGGAGAGAAAGAGTTTTTAGCAGCCAGTAGAACAGGAGAAATACTGAGAGGTTATCGTGAATGAAAATCAGAGTGGTGACCATAGAAGCTCTTTATCTAAATGTAGCTCAGAACTTTCCAGTGTTTATTGTAAAAGAACTAACGGGGTCGGTTGCCCTGACCCATCTTAGGGGTTTTTGTGGCCGTTAAATGTAATCACAGTACTTTGGTCTGTTAGCCATTTCTGTTGCTGTTTTGGCATTTCTTCAAGTGGGTCTCTTAAAAGCAGTTGAATAAAAAATTTTTTAGCCTAAGAACAAAAAATGAAATTCATGACATTGGTTCAGAAATAAAATATTCAGGCCCACAAAAACCTCCCTGCTATAGCATCCAGTCCAGACTTCAGATACCCGTCTCAGCGGTGACGTGGTTCTTGTCAGTTTTTCCGGGAACCTAAGAACATAGACACAGGAGTTCTTTCTGCCTGTAAGTGTAATTTCTGCCTACAGCAGCTCTGGGAGGTTGTTTCCTTGTTCTCCCATTTGCAAGGAAGGAGGCTGAAGCCCAGGGAGAAAGTACAGTTTGACCCCTAGATGGGAAGGCTGGGATTCTAGCAGGTTTCGGGCCTCAGGCCCTCTGGCCTCTTCTCTGCTTTCGAGACTTGTCAGCTGGGCTGGGGGTGACCAGCGATGTGCAGGGGGAGGAGGCAGAATATGTGGGTGCCTGGCATCGGTGGGTCTAATGAGGGTTATTTTATGTCTCTGAAGCTGAGGTGGAATGAAGTACCAGGACCGAATGACGATTAGAATCTTGTTAAAAGTCTACTCCAGGATTCCCCAGCACGCCCCATGATTCTATTGATAGGGTAATTCTACAGGGTGGGGTCATTGTATTGATGCCATCAATTAACCCAGGCTCAAGAAACCAAGGAGTGATGTGAATTGTGGTATGTGAATGAAAGGTGCTGCGTAATAACCTTTGGTTATTATCATGACCTGTTCTGTGTGGGTAATGGATTGCCCTGATAGCAGTCAAATAAATCCCAACAGTGGAGTGAAAGGTCTCTCTCTGCATCTGTATATCCTGTCTATCTGTACGTATACCTCAGTACAGTCTCTGTAAAGGGTGTTGATTACTGAGCAGGCTGCTCCTCGCAAGGCCAGAGGTAATGGATGCACTCTCCAGGGTCTAGCCGTGCCGGACAGTTTTAGGATAAACTGCTGCTGTAATCTCATTAGCTGGTTCTTTCTTGCAGGTGGTTTCCCCCGATGGTTTTCTTCTTGTCAATAGTTTTCTTGTCACTAAACAGCACTGTGCCACAGTTTTCACTGTTAAGCACAGTGCTTGTAAGTTGATGGGCATAGTGTTTCTCAAAGCCTCTGGCTTTAGGGAGAGACACACCAGGCCAACCTGTGCAGTTGCAGTTTCTAGCTTATTTATTTATTTATTTGTTTAAATTTACTCTGTGTATTTGTGTGTGTGTGTGTGTGTGTGTGTGTGTGTGTGGTGAGCGTATGCATTCATAGGAAGACCAGCTGTTGGCAGTGTCTTGCACTATTGCTTTCTACTTTATCCTTTGAGACCGTGATTTTTCACTGACCCTAATGCTCATTGGTGCCATGCCTTGCTGGCCAGTGATCTCAGGGATCTGCCTGTCTCCACTGCTCCAACCTCTAGGGTTAGCTGACCATGCCCAGCTCCACGTGTGGGCCTGGGATCAGAAGTCAGCACTTGTGTGTGTGGGGGATGCTTGGGAGACTATCTTGAGAGCCCCAGTCCTTTTTTATTTATTTTTTAATGTGAACTTACTCTTTCTTTTGGTCGAGTTAGTTTAGTAGTTTTTTTCGATATGGTTTCTCACCCCTTCACATGGAATTGTTGGTTAGATGATCTCTATCAGGGCCCGGAGGTCTATGTATGTGGACCCTTGGGTGTGGAGAGGTGAGGGAAGTGGAGCCCTCAGGGGGAGGGGTAAAGGTGCTAGTTAGACCGTCTGATTCTCTGTTCTTCCTTTCTGCAAAGCAAGACTCCTGGGCCTGTCAGTAACCTGTGTGACCGTCCTGGAAGCATACTCAGGAGGAAAGGCCGTGAGGCCATGGGTCGCAGAGCAAAGCTCAGCAGCTTGCTCATAAGAAGGCTCCTGATACGGTGCTCTGGGCTGAGTGCTTCAGGATTCCCTCAGACATCACCTATTGCAAGGAGAGACAGAGAGAGCGTGCGTGCAAGAGAGAGAGAGAGAGAGCTTTTCTTGAACTCAGTAGCATCAGTCTCGCTCTTACCATCTTTGTGATGTTTGGCAAATAATTCTGGCCTCAGTTTCCAGGCTCCTAATACCTATATATTTTGTGGTTTGTTAAAATAATTAAATGAGAATAAAGAAATGTACAAAGTATTTAGTAAATCCTTGTTATTACTGTGGCTTCAGTTCCCAGTAGTGTCTATAATTATGAGAGCTTTCCATCCTGGCTCTCTCCTCCCAATGCCCTTCTTATTATTGCCATATGTTCTGGATCTCCATCGGCTGCCTACCCCGCTGCCCACTCACTATCCAGACTCGATGGATGTTGGGATCACCAGCAACCTTTCTCCAGTCCCGCCTGTATGGGTTTGGTCTCTGGGTTCTAGTTTTACACCCTCGGAAGGCCATCCCTTCTCGTTATCCCGCACCAGCATTGCCTTATTTCAGGTCCTTCTCATTTCTCTTCTGGATCATTTCTGGAGCCTTCTGACTTAAGTGCTTCTCTCAGGCCTCTGTTTTCTGTGGTGTCACACTCAGATGAGTCTGTAAGTGTACAACAGCTGGTGTCACAGCCTTTGGATGTTCAAGAAGAAAAGGTTCTTAGAACAAACCCCCACAGACCATGAATCCCCTGTGGTCTCGCCACAGGGCCTGTTCCTGAGGCATGAAAATGCAGAGCCTCAAACCGTGTCCTGTTACACTTGCACAGGTGTCCCTCAGACTGGAACGTCCCTCTCACCTTGGCTGCCTTTTAAACCCTTCCTTATTCACTACCCACACTTCTCGTCTGTGAGATCTTCCTGACCCACCTTGTGAATTAAAGGCTCAGTACGCCATGTTTTCTGGAAGATGGAGGAGATCTCTGTGTAGCTTTTTCTAGTCAGTGCCTGGGCCAGCCGGTGAGTGCTTGTTGATTGATGAGTGAAAGACAATCCGATGAGCAACAGGAAGAAAACAGGACAAGCATAAGGACGCCCGAGGAGAGGGGGAACAGTTGGCTATTCATGATGCTTGCCTTCCTCGACCTGGTCACAGCAGTGGTGACAGAATCTGCAGCCCTGCCTTGATGATAGACAACACCCTGGGCTGTGTCCAGGACTGAACCTGGGAGAAACTGGTCAATGAGAAGGGAGCAGATGAACTGGGCAGTTTGTATTTTCTCACAGCACTCTTAACCTCACTCTCAAGTATTTCAGTTTTGTTTGTTTGTTTGTTTGTTTTTTGTGGGGGATGGCTCAGAGTATATAACAATGGTAAGAACAGGGGTACAATGGCTTTTTTTTTTCCTACCTGTTTCACAATAATTTAGAAGTGACATTATCATAAATATTAACATACAGCATAGCTGTGTTGTATTAATTATGTAATACCATTTACAGATCTGAAGTTCACAGGACTGCCTTTTCTAGAATGCTCACATTTGGTGAGTCTACATGGTGTCCTTTCTCTGTGGATGAACATCCATTCTGTGACTCCTGAAGAGTCAAAAGAGGTTTTGAAATAGCCTTGAGTGGTAGGATTCCCACAAGGGAACATTTCTTCACAGTTGTCCCCACACATGCCATCGAGTTTGTTTAACTCTTCTTCAGGACTGGTGCAGGTCTGCATTTCCCAACTTTAAACTGGCTTTCAAAGGATGAAGATTTGGTAGAATCGAGGACGTTCACAGTCATGGCCTCCCCTTTAAAATCAGTGCCCCAGAGACTTGCCGGAGAACGTAGCCTCTGTTCCGAGAGCAGCTCGGCCTCAGAAGAAGGCATTTTGGTATGCCTTTAAAGAAACCCAGTCAGGTTCCACCTGGTTATGTAAACTTTCTATGTGTGTCGAAGGGAGTGAGTTTGATTAGTTGGATGCTGTGAGTCATATTCTGAGATTAATTTACTAGCGCAGAGCTTCGGCTATAGGTGGGTGAGCGGCTGTTTGGAACCCAGTCCACATTTCTGTTATGCACTGACACATTTCTCAGACTTATAGATGTCACATTTCTGGAACATAGCTGACGGAACAGAAAATAGACACGTGACATAAAATGGGCTCGTGCATTATATTCTGTTTGTGGTGTACATTTTGTCTTGGTAGTTTTACACTCAGAAGTATTTTCTGTGAATATGTTCATGCTTAGCGATATAGGAATATTCACCAGCATGTTTCTAATAGCAGATAATTGAAGTCGTGGTTAATAACTGGTAACTCATACACGAGAGAGTGTTATCTCACCCCAGGGTGATACTGTAAATGGCCCAACCTATGAAGAATTTTCAGTTGCATTCACAATAAGAGGAATGCAGATGAGAGCTGCCTCAGCACTGCCTCGTTCACGCCAGGAATTTTCTTGGTGAGGTGGTGGGGACGCGGACACTTCCCATCTCTTCACATTTGAATGTGAGTTAGTGACTGTTGTGGGGATCAGCGTGGAAGTATCTGTCCAGGCACATCTATCTCACCCGCATCTTACAGATGTCTTTGTCGATGTGTGAGATGATGTATATACGAGATGCTTCGCGGAAGCATTTTTAATATCCGATGATTATAAACAACTTGGATGGCCAACGTGAGACCGGCAAAATAAAATCTGGTCTATTCATTAAGCAGCTGTGAAAGAAGGACAAAGACTCTTTCTGTGCACTTGCATGAAGCGATCATCGAGTGGGGAAAGCACGGAACAGAACAGTGTATAGTGCGTGGTATGTGCAGGAAGCTACATTTGCTTTTGTGTTATGGGGAAATTCTGGAATGATACATAAGCTAACAACAGTTGTGTATAGAGAGGGGGATTTGGGAACTAGGCAGATAAAAAGGATGGGATGGGAGGACATGAAGATACATCACCTCTCAGAACATACCAGTGATGAAAGACACTCATAAAAAAAAAAAAAAAAAAAACAAAAAACCCTGCGTGTTGGAGACCCTATGATGGTATGATCCGTGCTTTGTGAAGGGACACACACACATTTGTGCCCCGTATCGGGATGCTGCGTTTGGGTTGTTCATTGTAATACTTTTGGGGGCTAAACTAAAATTTTTACAGTAAATATGCGTTGTTCAGTAAGACACCCTAAGATACAAGTTTCCATTTTTTGTAAAGATAAAATTTAGTCAGAATCGCTGTTAGAATTTGGTCTCACCTGCGTAGGCAGAGGGTTGTCGGCCGACTTTCACGGTGGAGTGGAGAGGGAAGTGATCCCGTTGGAATCAGCTCAGAATGATTATTGTCCTGGGTCAAGGTCAGAGCAGCAGCCTGCTGAAATGGCAGTCCAGCAGGACTTCAGAGTAGTGTGGGGTGAGATCGGAAGGAGGAAAGGTCAAAGCAGCCGTAGAGCACGCTGAATGTGCTAAGATGTTGAAGTGCTAGAGGTTTACTGGGCAGCCGGATTAAATGTCATGATATAGATAAAATTAGAGCGGTCAAGGCAGCGTGAGGCACCTGGTGTGTATGGACAGAGAAAATGGTCAACACTGGCTGATTTCAAAACACACAAAGAGGACAAAGATGTGTTTAAGTGGGTCCTGGGTCACTGTGTAACCGGCTGTTGGACATCAGGCTCAGAACATCCGCTTCTGGTGTGACATGCTTCTGCATTTTTATAACTGGAGGAGGCAGACATTCTTTTTTCTCCCCTCCTTTCTTTGTGTTTGTGTTTGGAGGTGCAAAGATCTTGATAAGTAACTCCACGCCAGATGTGTCAAACCTTTTGACATTGCATTATGATATTGCTGTTGTCCTACAGACCCGTGGGTTCATGTTTGTAGCCATCCTGGGGACACATGCGGGCTGTGGGCTACAGTTTGCACATGCCCAACCTCAGCTTTTCTGGAACTCTCTGGGAGTCATGGGGGTGGAATTGCTGGGCTGTTGGTAATAGAGGCCTGATCACACTGTCGGGATCAGCAGCATCCAGACATGGCTTCAGTTCAGACATTTCTCCTCTCTCACTGGACCAGCATCTGTGATGTCCCAGGTGTATTTCAGCATTCTGATTCTGCAGATCACACTGAAAGCTGTGTGATGTGCAAGGGGAGAAAGCAGGGCTGTTGGGTGTGCCCAGCACTCACCCAGGGCTTGGCCCAGACAGTGAATGGATGCCCTTTGTGAGTCCTGCTCTGGCTAGAAGGTGGTGGAATTTTCTTAGAAGATGCCCAAGATTTGTGTATTCTCTTTTTTCCTTGCTCAGCATACCGCACGGATGAGTCTGAGCCCTGGGTTTTACCAGTAGTGAAGAAGGTAGAGCAGAGGATTGCTGAGGACAGGAGACTCAACCATGAGTACCTGCCCATCCTGGGTCTGGCAGACTTCCGGAGCCTTGCTTCTCAACTTTTACTTGGGGAGAACTGCCCAGCTCTCGAGGAGAAACGGGTGAGTTTGGGGAATGGATAGTTTTGCGTTAGGAGCCATAAATGTTAAAAATAAAGTTCAATTTGTTTGAAGTTATGTCTTGAGAACTAATAAATACGTATTTCTTTGAAGGCAAGGTGACCCTTTTAAATTTATTTATTTGTTTATTTTATGTGCGTGGGCAGTATGCTTTCATGTATGTCTGTGCTTCATATGAGTGCCTGGTGCTCAACGAGGCCAGAAGAGGGAATTGGATCCCCTGGGACTGGAGTTACAGCTGGTTGTAAGCTGCCTTGTGGGTGCTGGGAATTAAACCTGGGTCCTCTTGAAGAGCAGCCAGTGCTCTTAATGATTGAGCCGTGTCTCCAGCCCAGCAAGCACATGGTTAATCAGTGTGAGCAGACAATGTGGCCACATCCAGAGACAGGTTATATGCAGTAGGAAGTGGTGCCGGGGAGAGGGAGACCCTTGGGACTGTAAATGGAGCTAAAGTGTGTGCCCAGCCAGTATGCTGGCTCCCAGCCCTTGCCGACTGTTAGGATTTCCTGTGGGTTTGCAACCTGGACCCTGTGAACCTCATGCCAAGCCAATTTAATCAGAGTCCTGAAGAGCACTGCCCTCTTGTCTGCCCACAACCCCAGTTTTTTTTTTTTTTTTTTTAAGGCAGGGATTCCCTTTGCAGTCCTGGCTGTCCTAGAAGTCACTCAGTAGACCTTGACCTCAAACCCAGAGATCTGCCTGCCTCTGCCTCCCGAGTGCTGCGATTAAAGCTGTGCACCACCGCCTGGCTTGGGGAGTGTTTTTAAAGAGTGGCGCCATTGACTCCAAAATATTTCCAGCTTTGAAAACCGCAGAGTAGAGACAGCAGTGCTGCAGGAGTGTGGGGAGTGGCCCGGGGGCAGAGGTGGACAGAAGCAAGTCCAGGTTGTATGGAGAGCTTGCCAGGAGACTGAAGTTTGCAAGGGTTACCTCATGAAAGTGTTGTCTGGACAAGGTAAAGCTGGCTGGATGGGTAGCAAAGGGAAGAGCGGTAGTCTGGTTAGGTGTTATGCAATTGAAATGGGCTACCCTCATTACCTTCCCGGCCACATTGTAACGCAGGGCCAGGTCACACATAGAAAGGGCTACATTGTACCCTTGTCATTTGAGGTGCTCCTCACCTGTTGTTCACAGCAGGTGTTTCCTCTCCAGATGCCCTGATAAGCTGAACTGCAAGGTGAGGTAAAGGTTGCACACAGGCTTGCCTCGGGTGTCTTGAAGCAGGAGGCTCTGATGAAGGACTTGGAACCGAGGTCACTGATTAGACAAGTAACTAATCGAAGTTTGGACTAGAGGTCTGTATAAGGCTTTGACTTGGCTCAGGAAACTGAAGGTGGGAAAGATGTGTGTTAGGAGATAGGGGTGGCATGGAAAAGCTGCCCCGAAAACCCAGTCTTTGCCTAGACAGGAAGTGAATGGTCTTTTAAAAACCATGTATGTTTTAGGAATCCTTTGAGACCTTCATGCGATGTATTTTGATCATACTCATGGCCACTTCTCTCAAACCCTCCTCCCAACTTTGTGTCTGTGCTTAAAACAAAACAAAACAAAACACTGAGTTCAGTGTGTGCTGCCCATATACTCACAGATGTAAGGACGCCAAGCTTGAGGCCAATGATGCTGTCTACCAAGAGCCACAGTCCTAAGAAAAACTGACCTTTCCCTGCCCCAGAAGCCATCAACTCTCAATAGCTCCTCAGTTAAGAGTGGGGGTGCGTGTGGATGCCTCACTCTGTGCTAGAATGTTGACTGGCTTGGTCTTCCATAGGTGAGCATGGCTGCTGTGAGTCCATGAAAAGGGGCTTGTCATGTCCAGAGCACAGTCTTGCTCCCGTCCTCCCTAATGTCTGGCTCTTAAATCTCTCCAGCCCCCCTCTTCAGTGGTCCCTGAGCTCTCTGTGTGTATGTGTCCCATTTGTGGCTGAACACTCCACTGACATTTGCTCTCTGCCAGTTGTGAGTTTCTGCGTTAACTACCATCTAAAAGAAAAGAATCTTAATAAGATCTGAAAGTGGAGAAATTGAGCACCTGGAAGTTGGTTATCTATCTCTGCGAATGCCATAGGTTAATTAGTTGGGGCTGTTGTTGGCAACTGAGAGGCCATATTGTGGGAGCTGCTTCCTCCAAGAAAACTGCATTCTCACACGGCTGCTTTGTTGACAGTGTTCCTCTGTCCATGGACCCGAGTTTTGACCTCTTAAAGACTAAGAACCTGGGGTGGGGCTCATGGTTTTGACCTTGGAACATTCTTCCCTCTTGGTCTAGTTCATCTGTGTTTTGTTTTGATTATACAACAAACTTAAACGACTTTCTTTGTGGCATCAAGTAAGTAAAAGTTCCTGTTTTGGGATACTTCCTGGCCTTGGTATTACCCTGGGTACTAGCTGCTCTTGAGTGCTAAGCCCTTCCCTTTTTCCTGGAAGTTCTCCATCCCGGGGCCGCTGTTCAGCCACCATCAGCTCATGTAGGTTCTTGTAATAATGTCATGGACCTTCTGGCCTCTAGTCTACTTCTCATTTCAGGACATTTTTCACAATAGAGAGATGTTCCTTATAAAAAGAGCTAATCATGCCACCTGCTGTCTTCCTCCGCTCGCTGCGCCACCTGCTGCCTCCAGAGTGTGGTCCGGCCTCTAGCTTGGCATCTCTCTCCTTTTGTCCCTTCCGGATCCTGCCAGTCTAAGATACTGCTGGCCCTTAGTCCCACAGGCCCAGAACCCCTGCCTGGCTTTTCCCTCTGCCCTTCCTTGCTTCACCAGCTGTCTAGTCCCCAACTCTAAGACCTTCAGGACCCGATCAAGGGTCACTTCTGTGTTGAGTCATTCACTTTCTCAGGTGTGGCTGGTTATTTATGTTCTCTGTATTCCGGTTGTGAATGTTTGAAGTCTGGGAGTAACAGAACTCACCGTGACTATACTCTAGTGTCTAATTTAAAAATACCCTTATTTTATTTTATATATGCGAGTGTTTTGCCTGCATGAATCTGTCCACATGCATGCCTGGTGGCCATGGATGTCAGGAGAGTTTCAGGTGGCTGGGAGGCACCATTCGGATGCAGGGAACTCAAACCAGGTCCTCTGCAAGAGCAGCGAGTGCTCTTAACTGCTGAGCCTTGCCCCCAACCCCACAGAATGTCTAATTTTATAAGGCCTTTTTCTCTCACAGTTTGTGATCCTGGCTAGGGATCATGGCTTGCCTATTCATTTTGCACATGCCCCACAGTCAGCTCACGGGACATCTGAGGGTCTCAGATGTTTGAGTCATTCACTCGCTTGTCAGAAGGGCCGGGCATGTTGCTAGATGCTGGCACCCAGCAATGAGCAAATACACTGGTGACCGCAGAGACAGCCCCTGCTTCAGTTTACTGTGGTAAAGTCAGATGCTGGAGAAAGAGAGGAGGAGGAGGCACGTTAGCTATGGCGGAGGGAGGGAGGCTGGATTCAGTGTGAACCGGTGTATGGCTAGAATCAGAGGAGAAGGAGTGGTGGAGACAAGACCTGAAGAATGAGTCAGAAGGCAGGCAGAAAGGTCTTCCTTATACAACATCCCTGTCAGGGTTTATCATTACCACCTGTTTTGAAAGGACTCCCAATTTCTGGGACCCTCACTCTTTCTTACTACTTCCATTTTTCAGACTTTAAGACTCAGATAAAATGTCCGTTTTCCTCTCCCGTAGAATAGCTTTCCAGGCTCTGCCGTTACTGAGCCACAGCAGGCACAGCAGGTAGCCACGGTAGGTCTGATATAACGCCCTTCCGTGGAGTGAGAGCTCAGTCTTCTACTTTTGACCCTCGCGTCAAGGAGTCCTGGGATCTTGTTCTGCTTCGGGTCTTTTCCATACTCTTCTCTCTTCAGCCGGTTGGACAGGAGCTTGTGTGGTGCTGTGTATCAGATGAGGTGAGAGATGCTGTGGCACCCAGGTGTATAGTGTGACCCTGGCCACAGACAGCCTCTGGTGGGCTCTGCTCGCCTTACAGTGAAATAACATGAGCAAATTATGATCTCGGACACATTCCTAGAGTCTGGCACTTTTATGTCAACCTGGGAAGGAGATGCAGAGACTGCCCTCTAGTTTTAACTGATTTGCTCTTTGTTCCGAATACCCATCACGTAACTTGAGTCCAAGAGACTGTCTCCATGAATTGTCTGAATATATTTCCTCAGATATTAATGACTTTCCTTTTTACAAATATAGGACTTTCTTGACCAACCCCCCCCCGCCCAGTTTCTATTAATTGCTTATGTTTCACTGATGCCATCCAGTGTTTAATTTTTAGGGCATGACAGTTTGAGAATTCAGTATTTGTGTCTTATGGGTGCCAAGGTGGGTAGCTCATGTTAATGAGGTAGATTTATCTTTTTCAGAGTAATTTTCAGTCCTGTGTAGCCATGCTCTGACACTATTGCTCCTGGAACATCAGGGAGGGTGAGGCTAAGCACACTCCCTGACTGTTGTTCCACTATCTTTTAGCATTAGTGTTAGCTTAGAGTTTTAGAACAACCTAGGGCATTTAACCTTTTTATTTCAAATACTATAATGATTGAATCCATGCCTATGTTACATCACTTCAAGGATGCCTGTATTTGTCTGTCTGCCTGCACTCTCCCCTCACCCCCATAGTACATGGTGCTGGGGATTAAACCCAGAGCCCTCCCGATGCTAGGCAGATGCTCTACCACTAAACTACCTCCCCAGCCTCCTCCTTTTGTTTACAGACTTCTTGTGTGATCATTTTGTTCTCCTTAATCTTGCAGACATATTAGGCAACATCTAATTTATGTCTTTTCTTTACTGAGTTATGCTGAAGCCTCACTTGAATCTGAAGGGTCAAACCAAACCTAGGTAGACGGAGTGACATACAGAAAGACAGAGTGGCCAGATCCAGAGCAGGAAGACCCCACTCATGCCCATCCATGACCCTAGCCAGCTGTCCATCCTTTTGTGAACTATTCTTTCCCTCAATCTGCTTCCTCATTTGTCAACTGGGGACATCAGATTTACTCTGCAGGGTAGGTGAGGGGCCAAAGAAGACTCTAGATGAAGGCAGTCTGTAAATGGTAGAACAGAGGACTTTCATTATCGCCTGTATTAGGACTCTTCAAGCTGAGGGGAAACTGAGCAGAAGAAGGCAAAATCTGCCTCTCATCTTTGGGAGAACATATTTCCAGGGGTTAATAAACCAGTACTCTGTAGATAGATGGAGTCACTGGCCAGCTAGGAGTATGTGTCCAGGATCCTATTGAAAGGAGTGATCTTGGACGGGTGCTGAACAGATGCAGTTCACTTCCAAGGCACACACTAGCGTGGCCTGGGTCCTTCTACCTGTGTTCAGAATGGAAGTTTCTCCTGGAGTCAGAACTGTGAGGTCAGAGAGCTGGCTGTCCTGCTTGCTGGCTGGTGACTGAGCTTCATCTCTTGAGGTGTCTCTCCGTTTCCTCACTTGAAGCATGAGCAGGGAAAAGGATCTCCCGGTAGTTGTTGGAAGTTTTGATGAACTCATGCACAGAACAGGTACAAAATAAGAGCTCTTTACTGTCTCACCCTTGCCCAACCGTGACCCCCAAATCTTCTCTTTCAGGTCGGAGGCGTGCAGGCTTTGGGAGGAACAGGTGCACTTCGAATTGGAGCTGACTTCTTAGGGCGGTGGTACAATGGCATAGACAACAAGGACACACCCATCTATGTATCGTCGCCAACCTGGGGTGAGCCTGTTAGGTGCAGGAGAGGAGAGCCAAGCCGCTGGGAGGGCTGTCCTTGTGACATTCAGGGAGTGCGGGAAGATGTAATCCATCCCCGAAAGGGCCGGGTTTGGGGAGTCGCTGAGCACTGGATTAGGGCAGCACCCAGAGAAAGCTGCCGCTCAGATTTCAGCTGGGAACACCTTTTGCCAAGATCCTCTGTAGTCTTGCTTTGTAGTCTGTGTTGAAGGTTCCTGCCAGAGAAGTGGATGTAGGAGGTGGCACTGTAGTAGGCTGCTAAGTCTGGTTGAGCTTGTTCCTGGCACTCTAACTCCACAGTGCCCGGTGGACGCTGAGCCTCAGGGCCTGAAGCTCACCCATGTTCCTTCTGATTCCACCACCTTGTATCTGGAAAAACAGCTAACATTTGTCCCCTTGCTTTGCAGAGAACCATAATGCTGTGTTTGCGGCTGCCGGCTTTACAGACATTCGGTCCTATCGCTACTGGGATGCAGAGAAGAGAGGACTTGACATCGACGGTTTCCTGAGTGATCTGGAGGTGGGTGATACAGAACAGTAGAGAATTCTGTTGAGGAGCAGCAGGGACAGCTTTTGGATCAGTTGATGAGTGAGAATCTAAGACTTTTTCTCCAAATCGGATAGTGGATTCTGAAATAGCACATAAGAGAGTGATTGCGCAGAAGAGGGATGTGAAAGGCACTCAGAATATGGTTAGTCCTTGCCCTTTTACTGTGTCCTGGCTTCTGCCGACTGTCTCCTGATAGCCCTGACGCTGTCAGGGCTGATGGAGCCTTCTTCTCCCCAGAATGCTCCTGAGTTCTCCATCTTTGTCCTCCATGCCTGTGCACACAACCCAACCGGGACCGACCCGACTCAAGAGCAGTGGAAGCAGATCGCTGCCGTCATGAAGGTAAGGGCTCTTGCGGAGCGCCCTGCCAAGTGGGGTGCCTGGCTTAATCTTCTTTAGTTGTTGTTTCTTAATTATTTAAAAGCACAGCCTGCTCATTGAAGGGTCTGGAAAATGGAGAGAAGTCCAGAGAAGCAAATAAGTATTAACTATACATCTTATCACTCAAACAGACGCCAGGAGCGTTTTGATGGATGGGGTATTAATTAGAGTGTGTGTGGTCTTTAAAATGTGTACATGTTTTACAAAAGTGGAATTGTTTTCTCTCTATTATTTTGCAGCATTCTCCCCTTTTATTCCTTTATATACATATATTTCTTTGATGGTTTATAGCGTCATTTTTTTTTCATAGCTATGTGACCCTTTCGTGGATATGCCATCTTGAGGATTGGGTAAACCGGTTGAGGAATGTTTAAGTTTATTTCAGATTCCTTGACCCAATTTATGTATGTAGTAAAACTTCCTTCTTTTTTTTTTTTTTTTTTTAATTGTTCTTTTGAGACAGGATTTCTCTGTGTAGCTCTGGCTGTCCTGGATTTCTCTGTAGACCAGGCTGGCTTAGAACTTAGAGATTCACCTGCCTCTACCTCCTGAGTGCTGGGATTAAAGGCGTGCACCACCACCCCCCCAAAAAACTTTATCTCTTCAGGATTGCTTTCTAGATGAGAGTTCCTAACTAAAGTGCGTATTCTCCGTCAATGTGCTTATGGGATGCTTACTAAGCAACTTTTAGGTGTTGGGTACCACTGGGGTCTGGTAGTGAACATAGCAGATGGAGCCCCTGTCTTGAAGAACACATAGCCTGTTTAAGAACAACTCAGGGGTTAGTATTGGAGCAGTTCTGGTACTTTGAGATGCGGCGTGGGTGGGTTCCATAGCGATGGGCTAAACCTTTCTGGAAGAAGTGGCCTCCATGCCGAGTTTTGAAAAGGAGGAGCTGAGAAGACATTGTCTTGAGATTGCTGGTGGAAAGGTGGCAGGGGGTAGAGCGGGTCACAGACACAGCCCCACCCAGGCAGACAGGGTGCCCCTTTAAGGAACTGAAGGACATTCTCATTACTGCCTGGGGCTCGTGGTGGGGGAGATCCAGGGGAGCACAGTAATGTGTTTAGAGAGCAAATATGGCTGACCCTTGAGATGAGCCTGGTAACACGGGGTGGAATAGATTAAAGGGAAGTGCAACGAGACAGCTGGGAAAGCAGTTAGGTGCTGCCAGTGTGGGAGTTACTGGGAACCAAATGAAGTAGGTGGCAGCGGAGAAGGGGAGATGGAGGAAGCAGGTCCTCAGGAGTCTGGGATAGCGGAATCGGGTGCCATTGCAGGTGGGGGATGAACTGCAGGCTTTGAGTGAAGGTGATCTCGGGTTTCTGGTTTGGACAGTTCAGGAGAGGGAAGAGGTTTGTCCCCTCAGTGTGGAAGGCACAGGAGCAGCGAGGGGGACTCTTTGAAGAGATGAGAGTGATCAGAATTGAGAGCCTGCTTCCTCTAGAGAAGCTGGCGGGGCAGCACTGAGGTGAGGAAGCCCTGGAGTTTCCAGACCTCATAATTAGCTTATCATACTAGGAATTCCTGCAGAGGGACCCACTGACACAGAACAGTGCCTCCAAGCTTCAGAAGTAAGTCCCGTTGGCAAAGCTGCGTCTTGACGCTGGAGTACAGCAATGTTAAGAAGGAGGATTTACTAAAATCATTGCTGCTTGGTATTCGGTGAATACCAAGATGCAGAGTGGCCGGTGGATAAATGAATGCATGCAGACAAGAAATACAAGGTTCTGGGTAGAAATTCCTTCCAGATGCCAAGTGGGAAGGAAGGGTCCATGTCTGAGGCTGCTTCCAGAGGACGTCCTGCCCTGACTTGCTTTCCTTCCTCGCAGCGCCGTTTTCTGTTCCCCTTCTTTGACTCAGCCTATCAGGGCTTTGCATCTGGAGACCTAGAGAAAGATGCGTGGGCTATTCGCTATTTTGTGTCTGAAGGCTTCGAGCTCTTCTGTGCCCAGTCCTTCTCCAAGAACTTCGGGCTCTACAGTGAGTGCTTTGCAGACTTGCAGCCCTGTCTCCCTGCCCCTTCAACACCTCAGCAGCAGCTAAGCCGGGTTCTCGTTTCTCCTTAGATGAGAGAGTGGGGAATTTGACCGTGGTTGGAAAAGAATCCGACAGCGTCTTTCGGGTCCTTTCCCAGATGGAGAAGATTGTGAGAATCACTTGGTCCAATCCCCCTGCCCAGGGAGCACGGATCGTGGCCTTGACCCTCTCTGACCCTGAGCTCTTTAAGGAGTGGTAAGGGGCTCGCATTCTGATGGGTGAGGGTGGGAATGCAGAACTCAGTTGTTCTTTTGAATTTGCCTAGGTTTCGTCCCTCTAGCTTGAGAGTCAGAATTTGATGTTTTAACTTCTCTGAGATTCAGGTATCCCTATAAAGTGGCCCAGGCCAGGTGTGCACGGGAGCACAGATTCTAAGATGTGGAGAAGCCGTGCAATGGTAGTCAGGCCCTCGATAGGCTGACCTCCAGGCAGTGTGGCCATGTTGGAGCTGTCCCTTCTCCCGTGCATACACAGTGATGAAATTTAGCTGGTAGACTAGATAAGGTAGAAAGGCTACTTCCAATAACTCATAAAGGAACGGAGCCATTATAACGTCGTACCTTAACAACAACTATGCCAATCTTAGGACATCTTTTCTTGTTTTCCACTTAATGTTTTCTGAGTATGGTTAACCAAAGATAACTGGAACCACAGGCAGCGAAAACATAGGTAAGGTCGAAGACCAGTGTTTTATTTTATTTAAGAAGACCATGGCTTTCATGTAATGGCTAAGTGTATGAAAAATAGAGCAATTAGGCCTCGTGGAGGACATGATCCTGTTGGTATCAGCCTCCCAGTGAAGCCCAAAAGGGATGATAGTGTGTTTCAGCTGGCATCACTGTTAGCACAGTCCTGGCTGATTCCCTCTGTGTCTCTGGCTGTTCATCACCTGTCCAGGAACCCAGGTACCATCAGGGACAGGCTATAACCTTATGATAAGCTTTCATTCTAAATTGCAGGGTGTTTTTTTTGTTTGTTCGTTTTGGGCACAGACCTTTGCTATGTGCTGTAGTTGGTTTGGAACTGTAGACCCGGCTGGCTTCAAACTCACAGAGATCTTGCTGTTTCTGCCTCCTGAGTGCTGGGGTCAGAGGCATGCATCACCATAGCCTGGCTTGAAATACAGTCTTTAAAAGCTATGTATTTCTGTGACTCCTCTCGTCCTCCTTCATGGATATTGATAACCGCTGCCCATGTCCCAGGAAAGGAAACGTGAAGACAATGGCTGACCGGATTCTGACCATGAGAGCTGAACTCAGGGCACGATTAGAATATCTCAAGACTCCTGGGACCTGGTCTCACATCACTGATCAGATCGGAATGTTCAGCTTCACTGGGTTGAACCGTAAGTGGCCCTCCTGACACTCTGAGCCTGTGTGTGCGCATGACACAGACGTTCTTAGCCAGCCGTTGCTGATTGGTTAGATGTCGCTTTGGGCCAGAATAAGTTCGGTTTTCTCCATGTACATCCCTTGCACCTCGAGTCTCCAGGGCATTGTTGTGGTCCACCCTCCTGACCCATGATTTTGGTATTTTATTTTTATGGGTTAGAAAGTGGCTAGCTGGAAACAGCAGGATTTGTAACCTGGATCTTTAATTTATAACTAGTTTCTTGTGGATTGGCTTTACCTTAATCATTAGTATAAATACCACCTTAGGGACCGAATTCTCAGTAGGTCTTTTATAGGCTCCAGGTAGTATCCTTGAAAAGATGTTGCAGAGTTCTCTCTCCTTGTCATAAATTTAAACATTGGGTGGGTTTTAAAAGCTGATTGGAAATCCAATGGGCATGATTTCGGCCAGCTCTTAGTGGCAGTTCCTCATGATAGAGGAGCCATGTATTTAATAAGTAATTTCTGGGTACCTGCTGGACACCCATCGTTGGTGAGGTGCAGTCGCCACTCACCGGTCAGGCTGGTGGCTCTTGTGAGGGAAACGTGTTGGGTTCTGTTGGAGGTGGAACACTAGAGGCTCCAACCAGTATGTCTGGGCCTGTCAGTGCCAGCTTGAAATGGGCTGAGGAAAAAAAAAAAACCAAAGCAGATAAGTAGAAAGATCTGATCCAGAGGGTATGATAGACCCCTCCGACTCCTTTGCATTGAAATGGGCTGCCCCAGAGAAGCAAGTGGCTCAGCTAGCTGTGGCTTTTCCTCGGGATTGTGGGACAGAGAATTCATTGTCTGAGAAGTCATCTGTATGCACTTGTAAAAATTGTAAGTGATAAGGGAATGAACACCAGGTGTCAGCTTCTAGGTTCACAGAAGGGGTTATCTCCCCATGATGGAGCCTTGTTCTACTACTGTGCAGAGGAGGATAAAAGGTTTTATCATGACTTGACAAGTCGTAGACTGAACCTGACTATTAGCATTTGACACCATTCTTTTTTTTTTTCCAGACAGTGTCTCTGTGCAGTTCTGGGTGTCCTGGAACTTACTCTAGACCAGGCTGGCCTTGAACTCAGAGATCCGCCTGCCTCTGCCTCCTGAGTGCTGGGATTAAAGGTGTGCTCTGCTGCCACCATCACCCAGATTTATTTATGATTTTTTTTAACAACAGAGTTTGTTCTATTTTTTTTTTTCTCCTCATTTTATTAAGAAAACATATAGAGCCAGATGTGGTGTGCGTGGCCTTTCATTCCAGCACTCGGGAGGCAGAGGGGACCGCTGAACTTTTCCTATGCTCCTTCTGTGAAGCGGGCATGGTAAGGTTATCACCAAACATGCTGACGTGCTTAGAACACTGTCTAGCATGTTGAGCTTGCCCGGTGATGAGTGGGATTTTATTATTCTTTTCCATGTCTTTAAGGTGCTAATTAAGCAGAAATCTGCTAAAATTCTTTCATAGTTCTACAGTAAAACAAAATCACTGTAATGATGGTAGGACTGAGGAAGTGCGGCCTTCCCTTCCCCTTTCATATGTGGGGCTTTTCTGCAAACACGGAACTCCTGCTGCATCCGGGGAGGCTGAGGAGTGGATGAAGATGGGTATTTGCTCAGCATAATGGCTCATTCTTATGTCATCTGGGCATCCTGGTGGGATCCTGTCAAACCTTCTGTGAAATGAAATGCTGAATGGAAGTTGTTAGGTGCTTTGGACCAAGCAGCCAGACTAGGGAAGACAGGAAGCAGGCATTGTGTAACCAGTTTTCCATATCCGGGTACTATCCTTGTGTCTGCTGGTAATTCTCAATCAGGAGGGATGTCTAACAAGTAAGGTCTGGCTGGGAAGTAGTCCCAGATTCAAAGCTACCCTTCTATTGTAGTCCTACAGTGAACATCCTGAAAATGGAACATTAACTACTGAGAAGTCTTCCCAGGATCTAGTAGGCCATTTTCTATTTGTTGGTTGGACAAAAGGACAAAGTCACTCCTTTTGCTGAGCACTTGTCTGTGTTAAGGAGGAAGAAGGGAGATTGCAGCTGTTCTGTGACCTCTCAGTATCCACTGCTTAAGTCAGTGCTGCCCTCCTGTCTTTACAGCCAAGCAGGTCCAGTATCTGGTCAAGGAAAAGCACATCTACCTGCTTCCGAGCGGTCGGATCAACATGTGCGGCTTAACCACCAAAAACCTGGATTACGTCGCTACCTCCATTCACGAAGCCGTCACCAAAATTCAGTGAAGAAACACCTGCGCATACGTGCCACCAAAGCGGTTCCTTGCCACGTCTTCCTTGCCTGCGCAAACCTAGCTGTACATACCCTGGATTAGAGTAATCATGGTGAAGCAGCTGCTGTGTAGCCGGCCCCATGTGAAGAAGACATTTCTTGAACTGGGGGTCCTAGGATTAGAGACTTTTGGAATCCAGAGCAAATTAAAGTTATTTAAGAATTTAAAAGTACTTTGATATGAGATGTAGTTACCTTGCCTTCCTCTCTATCAGTCTGCGGGAGCACTGCCCACGGAGCCTTGACTCTGTACAAAGTCCAGTCCCAAAGATCAAATTGTCCGAGGAGCCGGGTTTGACTGTGGGTGTTGGCTGGGGCATTAAAATCAATCATGTCCACCCTATCTCTTGTCTCCCTGATCTTTCTGCATGTTGTGTCCCTCGTATGGAACATTCGTTTTTAAGTCACCTGCGGCCAACATTTACATCATGACACACAAACAGATTTGCGTATTTAACCGAATGTTCCACTAGATGCTATTTGCCCTTGTGACGTGTAGCACATTGTGATATTTTCTTAGTATATTCTGTTGTGTTCTGTTTCCTTAAAAATAAAAGTGCTGATCAAGACAAATGGAATTGAGTTTGTAGTCCGTTAATGAGTTTAGTAGAACGAAGGCTTTAGAGGGATTCACTAATGGCTAAAGGTAGAAACAAAAACAAAAACTGTGTTCTTAAAGTTGAAAGTTCTACTTGGGATCATGGCTGTAAGTCCATGTTGCTTTTGTAGGTTTATCATTCAGTCACCAGCCATTTTCTTAAGCAACTGGGATGATGTCATTTGGAGTGAGTCTGGGATACCAGCCCTTCTTGGAACAGCTGTCCCTCCTAGGGTCCTGGAAAAATTATAGCTGCTTAAACACATCACAATTTCTAGAGTCCAGGGCCTCTCAATGGTGCTTGTGGAAAATTGGTAGGGTTATACTATACTTTAAAGCGACAGAGTAACCACTTGGGAGTTTCAAAATATTTAGAAGTGGCTTTTCAGTATTTCCTAGGACTTGTGAGGCCTAACAGCCCATGGTTCTGAGGATGGCTGGCTCTGGAAGTCGCCAGGTCCAGCCTCCCTCCCCCAGTGAAACAGTTTGCTCCATGTTGTCCCTGACTCACTCCCTTTCATCTGGGTGTGGTGAGGAATTCTTTCCAAGCTTACCAGGACACCCTGTTTTGTTAGGAGGGCCTTTTAAATAAAAAAAAAAAAAAAAAGTTTTTACTGTGAGCCAGAGTTGGTCTACTTTTGTTGTTTCCCATTCCTTGAAACAGATGGCCTCCCTACTAGTTGAGAATAGCAGTGTTTGCTCCTGGTCTGGCTTTCCTGGGCAAAGCCCTCTGACCTCCTTCAGTGTTACTGCATAAGGTCCCTGGCTGGCACTCTCCCTGGAGGTGCCCAAGGCTAGTGGGTGTGGATGAAGCAAAGGTTACTGGATGTTCTTTGTTTCCATTTGTACTTTTCATTAACTCTTGTTCTTCCAGCTTTAAGATGCTGCTATGTGTAATGGGAGGCAGCCATGGCAGGATGAGTTTCCTGTTCTCTCTGGGTGGGGCTTACACCATCCCACGACAGTGCCTCCGTTGGGGTCAGCCTTGATTGTTGAGAGCAAAAGAGTTGATTTAGAAGGAGAGATGGCTCAGCAGTTAAGATCATTTGCTGCTCTTGCAGAGGACTGGGGTTCAGTTCCCAGCACCCACATGGAGCCTCACCGCTGCGTGCAATTCTAGTTCAAAGGGACCTGACACCCACTTCCGGCTTCCAGTGGCATCTACATACACCAAGGCATAAATAAATCTTTAAATAAAATCTTGCTCACTGTGGCCCTCTAAAATGTAGTCCCACTCAGTAAACTCTCACTCGCATTTAATTTTTCTCTAGGGGAAGTGCCGAAACTATTTAAATTAAGGAAACGGCTTTGAGTCTCAATGCCGGTACCAACATGCTAAAAATGCTTTTTGTATTAAAGAAAATGAAATGAGGTAGGAGTTTGGCCTTGTGTGTTTATGTCTTGGTTAATGTGTCCAGCTGTGTCTGGGCTCTGTGGACGCTTGGGGAAAGCGGCAGGACCTCTCAGACATGGGTAGGTGCTAGACTCAGAGGTGGGCCTAGTGTCCCAGGCTTTGTCAGTTCACAAACAGGACTTGTAGTTCCTAGCAGGGCAAGCAAGTTAGCCAGCATTTCAGGCTGGTAATATCAGCACCTTTGAGGGGCGGTTTTGAGAAAAGAGCTAATGGGTCCCTATTACAACAAGTAAAGCCCAGAGCAAAACAGTTGTTACCATATTAGGGAATGAGTAGTGTCTTTTGAGGCTCCAGAGATCTCAAATTGTTCTGGCATAGCCCACGACCGTTTTGTTGCACCATCTGCCAGCTGCCTGGCAGTTTCGCCTCTGGAGCTGGCTCACGGTGCGCCAGTATCCTGCGGCCCACTCTCCTAGAAACTTGGCGTCACGCCACCTTGACTTTGCAGAGGGTCCAGAGAAGCCAGCTAGTGTGACCAGCAGAGTCTCAGCGGCACGTCTGGGTCTGGCCCCCGAGATCCTGAACTTTTCTCATGGTCACATGGGTTCAGCAGACGCCGGTCCTTCTCATTATCCTCTTAGTACCCCCTTTTCTCCATTTACACCCGGGGTTGTTTGAATCCCGCTTCTGCCGTTCATTCCTATAAAATCTGACCCACCGGGCCCCCGGAAGTGAAGTACCCAAACTTTCCTGTAACCTTACCTCGGCCTCACGCCTGCCTGCAGGAGAGTGTCCGTGCAGGCAGGCGGGGCACCACAGGTGCGCTGTCCCACACGCATCCCAAATGAAGCCACATTAGAAATCCCGTGGGAAGTGAAGCCGCCATAGTCCAGGAAACACACTTTTATTTTATTTAAAAATTATTTATAATTTATTGAGCCTTCATAAATGCTTTATTTTAAAATCTTTTTTTTAAAATTTATTTAACCTGAAGAAAATGGGGCAGGGGGTGGGATCGAGGGAAAGGGGTGGTGACAGGTCCCTTAGAAGTTCTGCAGAGGAAGGGAGTAATGCAAGAGCAGTGGCCTGAGCCTGGTGGCCTGAGGGGTAATGAGAGGGAAATCCATTTGCCCAGTAGGCTCTCTTGTGGGTTCTCGTTCCCAACGAATCACTTCCCGGCCTAGGGCCGAGACGCCAGGCACCGGGTGCCTACACTGTTTATTCTGACCAGGTAGGGGCAGGCAGAACGTGGTGGCTGTGGAGTTGGCGAGGACACATGCATGGCTGAGCCTCAGGCCAGCCAGGCTAAGCAAGGGGCATGTGAAGTCAGTGACACACAGAGAGGGTCTCTGGCTCCAGTCCTTCCTCCCGTGGTCTGTGGCTCTCTTGGCAATGCCTACTGCTGTTTGGTAAACAGTGGGCAAGAGTTATGTGGGGTGTAGGTTGTGACCTTACTGTGCGGTGCCAACGATTTCGGAGGACCCTGTCTTGGTGGGTGTCAACCTTCCCCATTGACAACAGTGCTTGACCACTTAAAATTAAACACAATTCTTGAAGTGTCCAACATTCACTCTGCATTGCAGAAACACTGGGCTAAAAGTTCCGTTATTTAAAACTGTTAAAAGCCTCTGTGGCTCTGGGAACTTTGAGAGTAGTAAGAAAGCTTCAAGTCTCTGGAAAACACACAAAAACACCAACTTCTGACAGTTTTAAGGGCTCTTTAGCCTGCTGGAGTCAAACTATGGACTCCCCTGGGGTAATGGCCCCAGGTTTAACAACCCCTGAGTTAAAGATCCTGTGGGCAAGTATTTTCCTTTGAGACACAAATAACATAGAGGAATCATTAGCTGTCCGTCTGCCTGTGACTGAATGGGGGTGGGTGGAGGTAGGGGTTAAGGCTTCGAGGGAGGGCAGTGGTTTTGGAGATTCAGCAGGCAGCACTGGATCTCCAGATGCTGACTGGAGGTGTGCAAGGACAGGGCGGGAAATGAATCAGAAACTCAAACTTGACTTTTAAATTTTCTCTTAGGCTGGCTGTTTCCCAATACCTACATTACTCTTAGGAGTAGATATGCATGGTAATTCTGCCATCTTGTGGGTATGGTTGGAATTGCATCTGCCCCAACATAAAGGACTAAAACCCCTGATCTGGTAGGTTTTTGGAATACTTAGCTGACCAACAAGAGATGGAGTAAGAGGCAGGAGGAGGGGGTATGTGCAAAAGAAAGGTGAGCGTTCAACATCCCTGTGTCAAGCACGCTGAACTCCCGTGACAACACGGAGCATCCTTCCTGGCTGACCTGGGCACTCTTTGGTTTATCATGGCTGCACTCACTGTAACAACTTAGAACTTTTTCATGAAAGTTTCTTTTTTTTTTTCCTGCTCTAACTTTCACTTAAAACCTGAAGTTACTTCTATGTCTGGCTCACAACTTGGTCTCTGTGTTCCCTGATCTTCCTCTTCTGAAGCAGGCTTACTGAGAAATTAATTACTGTAAGCTCAAACAGACACGTCCCTGAGAGATAGCTTCTTCTCTTTCCATTCCAGCAGAACTGCCCTTCTCCTAGGCTGTGGAGAGCCCACTGACTGACAGTGAGTTCCACACTCTGAAGAATCCTTGTCCATCCCTGGAACTGATCTTCACACCTGCTCCTCTGGACTAACATGCCTCTCTGTCCGCATCACTGGCCGACCTAATGCTAAGCATGAATGATGGTAGAAAGGGTTGTTTTGTTCTGGAAGAAAGAATGGTGAATCCCAGGACATGGGTCTCCTGTGGCTCAGGGACACGAAAGAACAAAGACAATTATTGGGAGCCTCGAGTGGCTCTGTCAGCTTGGGGTTAGTCCTGGACTATGCTACGGACAAGACCGTTTCTAGCATCCTCCAATTCCAGGCATCGGCTCTCCTTCAGCGTTTAGACTGGAGGCAACTGGCAAAGCTGGCCAAACTGACTGTGAGGGGTGGAAGGTGGAGGGCAGAGTGTTCTGTCACCGGTGGGAGGCCTCGGGGGGAAAGCAAGTGATGGGAGGGCGGGTCTTCCCCCAAAGCCTCAGCGTCTCACAGCTGGCCAGCGAGGCCTCCCTCATCATGTGATCAGAGGTGTTAAATTGGAGTTTTCCTCAGAGGCTCGCTCTCCTTCTGCTGACTTCTTCCTTTTCCGGCCACCTGAAAAACAGGGTGTCAGCATCCACCTGTAGCTAGGGAGGAGGTCCGTGTGCTCTCAGAGACAAAGCCCTGCAGTGGAACCTGCGCTGTACCATGTCACTGATGTCAGCACGTTTACACTTTTACACACTGACACTCTGGAGCACTTCCCCCAAAGAGGAACAGCTCTGAAAGGCCACAATCCCAGGGTTCATGGAAGGGGTTGAAATGCCTTCTTTCCTTTTCCTGGAAGGCCCCAGCTCAAGTGACTGCCAGACACCAGACTTTGATGTCCCATGGGCCACAATTGGTGGCCCCATTCAGAATGTCTCCTGCCTAGTCCGGGCCAGGTGATGGTGACTGTGTAATTGCCCTCACGGATGGAACAGGCACCTGTGTCCAGCTCTGGCAGTGTCCAGGAAGGAACATTTCCATCCTGCTCTCTCTGCCGCTGACCTCTGTCTGAGAAGGATACTTCTCTCTTTCCTGTCTTTAAGGAATACTGATTTTGTGTTTGTACATTTGCACGTTTATTGTGGTTGTGTGGTTGTGTGGTGTGCATATGAGGTCGGAAGACAACTGTGGGAGTCAGTTCTCTCCTCTCACCACGTGGGTCCTGGGGATCAAAGTCAGGCCTTCAGGTTTGGCAGCAAGCACCTGTACCAGTGGAGCCATCTCGCTGGCCCTTGCTTTTCTTCCTTGTAGTCTCCTAGACACAGGGTTTGTTGTCAAAGGCCTATATGGTAAATATTATGGGTTTTGCAGGCTCTGAGGCCTCTGATACAATTGTTCAGCCTTGCCATTTGTGGGCCACATATTACTAATGGGCCCATGACCCAAAGTTCTCTACCTGTACAAAGCAGGTCAGATTTTGGCCTCAGGACATGTCTGAAGATTCCTGTCCTAGGGGATCACCAATGGGGACGGATTTGAACAGGTGTGACCCTGGTTTAGGGCCGATTGTAGATTTCCAGTGTTGTGTCTCGTTAGACTCTGCGGGCCTTACCCCTGCAGGAAGATCCCCTCATGCTTCTCCTCCTCCTGCTTGGTGAGGAGCGTTGGTCAGGGAGAAAGGATACTCACTCAGGGTTCTCAGCAGTTTTTTGCCCATGGTGTCCTCAGAGTCACTGCTGCAGGGGCTGGTCTCTGTGTCCAGGTGGATAGTACAGCATTCAGTATCTAAAGCTGAAAGGAGAGCAAACTCAGGCCTCCAACAGAAATGTCGGGATCAAGCAGGAAGGTTCTGAGTGATGCCCTTCTGGGAGTGACTGACAGGGCTGAAGGGTGGGGCCTCTCAGTAACAGTGTGTATGTCCCTTGAAAGGTGTTGTTTATTAGTTAGCAAATAGCATTTTACTGCCACAAAAGGAACAGGCAGACAACGGAGCTGTAATCCAACGGTCACTCTACCCAAAGTCAGAAATAATTACATCTCCTCCAATACCATCTGGCAAGAGAGAGGGAGAAAATACAGTATGTTCTGCCTAGTGTTTGTGGCAGACAAAAAGCACATCTAAGGCCACGAGATGTCCCTTTCTTTGACCTGTAAACCCAAGGGCCCGACCACAACAGGGCACACGCCCCTGGCTTCTTAGAATCTCAGCCCAGAAAGGATCCAAGCCTCACACCAGTTGAGAGCCGACCCTGGACAGGGTGGTTTGCTGGAAACTGACCTGCACAGAAGCCCTGCCATGGAGCCCACGTCTAACATGGTCTTTGGGTGTGGGTGAGCCATTTCCCCTCTGCCAGCCTCCGGGGTCCTCTCGTATCACACTAACAGGTGGGCTACAAGTTCTCCAAACTTCACCCGACTCCATTGTTACTTCTTGGCTCCATTTCCCAGCTGCGTACTTCAATGGAGCTACTAAATTCATGTGTGGAAGATATCACTCTCTCTCTCATCCAAATCCTAGACCTGTGACTGTATGGTCCAGTTTTTTTGTTTTTTTTTTTTTTGGGGGGGGGGGTTGACACATGTTGTCTCTCTGATCTTACAAACTTAGGAGCCTTTCCACACTCTTGCTTTGTACACTTGGTGTGGAATGGGGCAGGCCCAAAGCAAGGCAGAGGAACTACTGGCCTGGAGGGTAGGCATACAGAGTGGCAAAGCTTGGGGCCGCCACCTATTGCTCCTGGGACAGGGCACTTTGAGCAACTACACTGTCAAGGCAGAAGTGCACCATGTCTCAAATGAAGGGGTCTGAGAATGCAGGGAACGTCCATAGACTTTGGCCTGTTCTGTGGCCCAGAGTAAGGAAAGAGCCCTGTCAGTGAGGGTAATGGCGCCTGTCAGTCTTCTCATCTATAAAGGAGTTCTGATATTTAAAGAGTGTGGTACCATAGAGTGTCCTATAGACACACTCTCTCACTTATACCTGAAACTGCCTTATGATATCACCACCATTATTTATAGTCATTAAGTTACTCAAGGACTTACCTATTAAGTTAACCTGTTAAGATAAGGAAACTTACCTATTAAGATAGGGAAACTGAACTGAACTGTTGATTGAGTAATTTGCTTAAAACTGCACAGCTCTTGAAAGCTGTAAAAGTGATACATGCTTGTAATCCCAACATTTGGAAGGTGGAGGCAGGGGGCTCAGAAGTTCAAGGTCATTCTCTGCTACAAAGTAAGCAGGGCCCAGCTTACAAGAGAACTTATCTTAAAAAAAAAAAAAAAAAATCCTGAACTGAAGGGGCTAGGGTCTGAATCCAGGCAGAAAATATCTCCTACCATTGCCCAAGTTTTCCTGGAAAGATGAATTAGATGGGCCCAGTACATGATAGGTGCTTGGTAAATGCCGATCCCTCCCTCCCCTCCAGTGTGTGTGTGTGTTGGGGGGAAACAGGAGCTGGAGTCCCAGGGCTTCCCAAGCCAGTTCGATCTTGCTGCCCTGGATCCAGCCCTGACCTGCTGTTGTAGGAACAGCCGGAGGGGACATTGTGAGTTGCTGTGTCTTGTGCTCCTCAAAGTTGGTTACTTCTTCCTGGGGGAAAGCCATCTCCTCCATCCTCAGGTACACCACCTCGCCGGGGCTTCTCAGACCATCTGAGCGGCTGCCTGTGGAGGACAGTGAGTATATTACCTCCATGCCTGGGAGGAGACCCAGCGCTCTGTGAGGCACAAGATGGCTGCTGGGCATTAGTGGAGGAGGAAGGTGGGGCTGTTCTTACCCCACAGCAGCCCAACCCATCAGACTGACTCACACGGCAAGCTGGTCCTGTTGCTCAGGAGCGTGAGGACCGCATCATCCTTCGGAGTCTGGGGTGTGCCCCGGGTGGTGGGGGCCTTGGTGGAGTCCCCATCTGTGAAGGCTTCCATGTCCGGGGATTGGGGCGAGCTGTCCATGTGGCAGGCCGTGAGGGCATTCTGGTATTGCTGACGTGTGATCTGGAAGGAAGTGGACAGCGGATCAGGAGAGCCATGTAGACACGATGTCCACATAGCCAGCTTTCCGGAGCTCACAGGCAGCTCCACTGGGTGCTTTGGAATTCCTGGTCTGAGGCCTGAGGTCGTGAGTCGGAGTCCTACCCAAGCTGCATTAAGCCTGGCATTGGAAGGACAATGAAGGGTCCTTTTACTTGCTGGCCAACAATCCCCACTATTCGTTTTTGTTGGCTTTTAGCTTTGTAGTGTACTTGGAAGAACTTGCATGGACCTGTTCTGTGTTGCCGTAGCAACATATCTGAGCCTTGTACCTTATATAGAAAAGAGGTTTATTTGGCTCAACGTCCTGGTGGCTGGAAAGGACAAGCATGGAGCTGGTGCTTGGGGAGAGCCTCCCTGCTCGTGCTAGAGAAGCATAAAGGGAATCAGCTGACGGTAGCGAGGGGCTGAGCATATGGGCCAACCTTGTTTGACAGCAGAAACCAACCCAGTCCTAGGAAAAACACATTAATCCCCTCCCAGGGCTGTGCTCCCCACAACCTACTCACTTTCCTCCAGGTCCCACCTCTGGAAGGTCCACCTCATAATACTGCTACACTGGGGTCCTTGCTAACCTTTGGAGGACACACTCAAACCATACCCAGACCAGAAGACGTGGATCATGAAGTGGTTTTTCACCCCTCGGTCTCAGACCCACAGGGTTTGTTACATCCAGGCTTCTGGATCCCGTTCTGAGAGTGTCGAATTTACTAGGTCAGGCACTGAAGCAGAATTTGCATTTCTAGACAGTTCCACGGAAAGCTAGTGATATAGTGGCTCTTTGAGACCCACCGCCCGAGACCCAGTTAAATTGAGCACAGGTCCTACTCAGTGTCAGTTCCTGCCCTGGGAAGCATTTTAAAGGACACAGCAGCACTGTGCTTGCAACCAGCTTTGGGAGTTTTCAGGTTAGAACTATGTTCTGTGCTATATAGCGTGGAAATGTGGGTCTCAACTCGCCATCCGCCCAAAGCTTCACCAGAGTCAGCGCTCTTGTTGAGAACACCTCATGCCCCAGGCTCCTGCCTTTCCTTGCTGGAAAGTGAGGTCAGGTTCCAAAAGGGACAGGAAATTTTCCTATGTGACACTTGATAAACTCAAGAAAGCAGCAGACTCTGCTGTAGCTGTGTTCTTCAAATAATTATTTTTATCTTATTGGCCCCTAGATGTTAGTTTATGTGGTGTCTCTGTGTGAGTCTGTATATGCCAGTGTGTTTGGGTGTGTGCAGCTGCCGAGGTCAGAAGAGGGTGCTGAATCTCCCAGAGTTGCAGTTACAGATAGTTGTGAGCTGCTCCACAAGGGTGCTGGGAACCAGGGCCGCTTGGAAGAGCAGCAAACGGACTCCCCTGCTCAGCCCTTGCTCCAGCCCCCAGCTGTGTTCTTCACAGCATTAATCCTACTTTAATCAAATAGGGCAAAGGGACCCTTTACCCAGAGACTATAGCAGGCAGTTTGCTGCCTGCCCAGCACCCATGGCTCAAGTCTTGGTTTTGCCACTTTGAGCCGGGTAGCACTAGTCAGACGACTAGCCCCTCTGAGTTTGTAAAACATGCCTAGAGAAACTCATTACACTTCCACATACACGCCTGTCAATTTGGCTTCATTACAGGCAGACATTTCAAAGATGGTCAAACTCACCATCTTACTTCTTCTAAACTGTCTATGACACGCCATGAGGGACAGTGGCCCTCTGGCACCGGCATCAGCGTGACTGGTGGTGCTGGGAAGACAAACTTGGAAGAGTAAAGCCGTAAGAAAGCACAGCCAGCGGGGGCAGCAGGAAGAGGCAGGTGCTGGGTAGTGGCAGTGGATGGATAAGGATGGTGTCCTGACTTTGATGATGAACACTGATGTGGAAATGCAAACCCAGTAAACCCTTTCTTCTCCAAGTTGCTCTGTTCCTAGTGTTTCCTCACAGCAATAGAAACCCTAACCAAGATGCCTGCTAAAAAGAAGATCGAGACAGCTACAGCTAGGACTGGACATTAGGAGGAGCACAGCGGTGTGTGTGTTGGGGGGTAATGGTTGGCCTTGGATAAAGGGGAGGGACTGCATGTCAGGGGTAGCTGGAGAAAGGGAAAGGTGCTGTTGATTGGTTACCCTTTATGTTCTCACAGCCTTGCTTTCACACCGCTTTAAGAAAAAAAACTGTATTTTAAACATTAAAGTACTACTGTGCTAATGCATCACCTTAAAAAACAAAAACAAAAAACTGTTGACAAAGGGCTAGAGAGATGACCTCCCCGTTAGGAGTGAGTGCTTGCTCTTGCACAGGACCTTCATTCGATTCCCAGGCATACACATGACAGACATATATGTAAGCAAATACTCATATGTAAAATAAAGCAAATAACAAAAAAATTAAAGATAAACCGTAGACATAAACTCTGTTCTAAAAAAATGGACTCAGGTTCAAGTATCCCTTTTCATCATTTCTCTCCCTTTGGACAAGTTTTGTTTTCAGTGCTAGGGAATGAATCCAGGGCCTGGTCATGCAAGACAGCTGGGGTACTGCTAAGTTATACTTCCAGCCCTGACAAGATTCGGTTTGGTATGTCGCTGTTAAATAGAAATATTGTCTAGCAGTTAAAGAAGACGGAAACAGGCCAACTAGAGCCACATTGTGACATCCTGTGTCACATTGTGTCTCCAGAAAACAAACAAAAAAAAGAGAAACAGGTGAAATAATTTTATCAACATAGCCTTGATAGTCAAGAGTTCTCATGGCTGCTAGCCCAGAACTGCGGCCGCCAGACTCTTCGAAGGCCCTTCACTGCATGAGATCTACTCACTTCCATACCTATTCATGGGAGTGCCCACGTGACCCTGCCTTAATCTCCCTCTGGTTCCTTCCCAATTTTTAAAGGTCCAGCTATTCCCCAGACAGTACAGTGCTTGAAAAATGCCACACAGTTTAGTGGTGGCCTGTATTGGTCATTGCTATTTAAGTTTACTTTTCTCCTCTGAACTACATGCAAGGTAGTTTTATATAAAACACTTTACATATTTATATCTTGAAATTTTGTTTTTGTTCGAAACCTTTTTTTTTATAATGCATTTGCGTGTTTCGCCTGCATGTATGTCTGTGCAGGGTGTGCACGCCTGGTGCCCGTGGAGGTCAGAAGAAGGCATTGGATCCCCCGGAAGTGGAGTTACAGTTGTTTGTGAGCTGTCATGTGGGTTCTGGGAATCAAAACCAAGTCCTCTGGAGGAGCAGCCAGTGCTCTTAACCACTGAGCCATCTCTCCAGCCCCCATGTTTGTAACATTCGAATGTATTTAACATACTCCACAGTACCCAAAGAACATAGTTAATGCTCAAGAAATACCCATTGATTAGCTGATGGCAGTGAGCAAACTAATTTTTGAAAGACAACATTTTTTTTTAATTATTATTATTCTTTTTCACCCCCTCTCTTCTCTGCTGCAATGCAATGTGTCTTACCAACAGCCTGAGTTTAGACTCTTTCATACTTTGGCCTGTTCATAATCTAAGCATCTCCTAAATTATTATCTTGAAACTAACAAAGTGTAAGATTTCCCTTTTGGGTCTCTTGACTTAGCGGCCAAGTCACCCAGAAGTTAACCTATTGGCTAGTGGATGTCTCTTGCCATTTTATGAAATTGTGACTTGGGGTTGGTTTATTAGCTTTCAAAACAGGACCCTGCATTTTAGGGATTTCACCACTAGATGGTGATGGGGAGCTTGATCAAAGTTATATAACCCACCCTGTAAGGTGTCTGCCAGAACAGTCTTGGCTTACCAGTGATTCCTACAGGACAGACAGACAGATAAAATCAGAAGGATACCTTTAGTGCTTCATAATGATGTATTAACATCTATAAATCATGGCTTTGTTTAAAACCTTATCCAGAAAACCTTAAGATGTGCCTTTCTAGCTCACTTTAAACTTGCCTTGAAATCATATTACTCTTGAACCTAATAATTTGGGAATTTTAGTTTGTAGGACAAGGAAGGTCACTGAGGACCTTTTCTACAGCCAGAAGTCTGTGAAAACACTTTTCCATGCAGTGTTCCCACTGGGTCCCCAGGGACTATCGGGAGAAGGGGTAGGGGTTCTTGCCTGGGATGTCAGTCCTTAGCACTCAGAATAAAATAGAAAAAGCACAGAGACTCCCCTGGCCAACAAGGAGGTCACAGCCGGGGGAGGAAGGTTGCTTCAGCAAGGCCCCCAAAGCATCTCTTGAATGGGAGGGAGTGGATTTTTAGCTTTTGGTTTAAGAAAGATCTTACATTACGCAGGGAAGGAGGAAACCAAACCCTAACACATTTGTCTTGAATTTGAGAAGTGTCCCTCCGTAGGACTATAGGTTTTCTGAAGCCACAGGTTTAAAGAGAGTTTCATTAATGCCTTAACTGGCCATCCTTCTCAATTTTAAAATGTTTAGGTGGAAAAAAAGGGACTATGTTTGGTGTTTCCCAGCAGGTTGGACCAAAACAGGATCCTCTGGTGTGACAAAAAGAACATATAATTCTCAGTACTCCTGAGAACTGTTCTTGGATTCAGGTTCCAACCACCACTGACTCAGGTTAGGAAAGAGTTTTCATTGTTGTTTTTAAAAGTTGCCTTTTCTTAGCTCTAGGGAAGGGGGCTCATTTTAGGAAAACCTTTACAAATGTCCTCTATCTGAGGTCCTCATCTCAGTACATCCCCTGCGGAGCTGACAAATCTATGTCTGGTTGTCCTAATCAGTCTATTCAAGACAAGGGATACTCCTCCAAACCTTCGGCTCCCCATGGGAGCTTATTAAAATTCCATTGGTAAAAAATCTCATTTACTTTTCATTCCAATGTAGCAAACTGTTCACTGATTTTTTTTTTTTTTTTCAAGACAGGGTTTTTCTGTGTAGCCTTGACTATCCTGGAACTCACTCTGTAGAGCAGGCTGGCCTTGAACTCACAGAGAGCTACCTGCCTCTGCCTCTGCTGGGGATCAAAGGTGTGCACTACCACTGCCCGGCTCTGTTCACTGATGGATTGAACTTCAGGTGTAAATGATGCCATATGACCCTCGAAATCTACATGCTACACCTAATCCCGGAAGACAAGGCATTCAGGAGGGGGCTTTGGGAGGGGACCAGGATGCTATGGCTTCTCTCCTATGGGGGGTTTGCTTCCTTTCTCTGTTATCTAATGTTCAAGGGCCCCAGGGCCATGAGGAAGTAGGCTCTCAACACACACTGGGTCTACGCCCATTGACCTTGGAGCTCCCAGGCTATAGCAGTGTGACAGTGGCTAGAATTGTCTTATGTGAACAGGATGATCCAAGGAAAAACAAAAATAGGATTCTCCTTCCCTCACCTAAACATTTTAAAATTGAGAATGGTAGCTCATTAAAGCACTAGTCCAACTCTCTTTAAACCTGTGGCTTCAGAAAACTTTTAGTCTTACTTAACATTTTTTTTTCCCCATTGCTGGGGCAGTGCACTAAAAATAGAACCCAAATTCCATATGCTGCCCCAGAGGACCAAGGGGTTCTGCTTTTGATGTTCCATTCCCATCTTACCCCATCACCAGCCTCTGCTCTTCTCAGGCCAGTGCTCAGACACCCGCACCACTGCGGTTTCACTTCTGACATCTCCCTCTCTCCCTCCCTCGTCAGTTCTCAGCAAGTGTTCTCTCTTAGCCTCCTCCACTTCAAAAGTAGCCAGCCCTGCCTAATCTGTTTATGCCAGGGCTTTGTCATCAGGACCTGAACTTAGCCAGGTTCTGGTGTGCTTGCCTGTCTCCCTCACCTCTGCTGTCGCTAGGTTAGCTCTAGAAAAGCAGCTGTCTCCTCAATGCCGAGCACAAGGCAGACATGGGAGAGACAGCCGACAAACTGTGTCCTGAAATTATGAGCCCAACACTACAAACCAGCAGAGCTAGCAGGCTAGTCCCGCCTATCCCACCCCACCCCACCCCCTACCTCCACCTTCGAGGAAGGTCTGCTTTAGCGCTGAGGAGTCTGGAAGCCACAGGGAGTGAGTCACCCACTGGCTTTCTCGGGTTAGCCTCTTTGCCTCAGGCTTGTCACCTGTGCTCAGCTAGGGTTGCTTCTCCCTGGGCTAACTTTCTACAACTCTCCCTGAAGTTCAGTGATTCCAAGGTTCTGGCTTCAGAAGCAGACAGAAGTGTCAACTTTGAAGCTCTTTTTTTTTTTTTTTTTTTTTTTTTTTTTAGCCAGATGATCCAGCACTAACAGCCTCAGAGGTGGGTGTCGAGGTTAGCATGTGATTCAGATAAAGGATTCAGCGAAGCTCCTTGCAAAGTGCCCTCCACCCTGCAGTCATCTGGTCCATCTGGCAAGTTCTGCTCTTTCTGCTGGCAACATTCAATGGTTTCTTCTTTTCATGGCTACTTTTATCGGATGACCATCACTAAAAGTGTCTATAGGGTCCTGGCGCATAAGGCCGGCCAACACACCCCGGAAGTTATCCGTGTTCTGGGCAGAGGGAAATGACCTTCTCCCACCGTGCGATTTCAGTGGCTGGTACAGTTACCAAGTGTACTCCCTGGATGTCTCACTGGACCTGATATGTGTTGTGCCCGAGGATAAAGGTCCGCCTCACTCCGCCAGCCGGCCGCCCTCCTGGAGGACTTACCTTCACGAACTGCACGTCGCTGAGGATGTGCACGGAGTAGTCGGGTGTGTAGAGGTTGTTGCTGCTGCTGTACAGCTGTGTGTTGCTCCCGCCAAAGTCACTGCGCTCTCGGTTTGGAGACTCAGAGCGATTCAAGCCGCTGCAGCGAGAAGGGGACCGGTTTACTGCAGATGGTGAGGGAGAGGGAGGGGCCGAGAGAAGAGATAAGGAATGGTGGGGGGGGGGGGGGGGGGGGAGGGAAGGGGGAAGGGGGGGGGGGGGGGGGGAGGAAGGATGAGAGGAAGGAGGAAGAGAGAGAAAGGTGCTATTTACGGAGGTCCCATGGAACTACCAGGCAGTGGTAGCATTGCAAGGACAGGGACCCACACCCACTAGAGCCCAAGAAGGGAGTGGCTTGTGGCTTGTTGGTGTTGCTCCTGTGGCGCATGTCCTGACCCAGGAGGAAGCCAGGGTGCTTGGTTTCCCTAGATGGCTCTTGTCGTTGGTGCAGGAGGACCCCCAAACACACGAGGATAGTGCAGCATATGTGGTACCCAGTAGAGACCCCGCTACTGGGAGAAGGCACTGTACATAATGCCCTGACCCTTTTAGGAAGACCAAGGCCTTAGGTTATCACCTGTCACTTCACCATGGCCAGGGTTCAGTGGGGCTAACTGGGCCTCAGCACTGGCAGGCTCTGGGTCAAGAGTGTAAACGGGGACCATGAGCCATCAGGGTAAACAGTTGGAAGTTGTATAGCATGCTGATATGCTGCCAAAGTCTTATCCTTGTAAGTCCAGGCTCAACTACTCAAGTTTTGTGGCACAGACAGGGTTGGGTGGGGTGGGCCTTAGGGCTTCTGGACTCAGTATCTTTCAGAGATGTTTGGGTGTGGAACTGTAGGACTCTGCCTGTCTGAGATGAGTAGCAGGAAGAATGTGGCCTCGGGGTGGGCATAGCCCCCTTGACTATTGCAAGAGGCAGCACTGAGGAGAGCCATAGTGGTCCTTGAGAATGCGGGTCATAGAAAAGCTCATTCTGGCATAAATGGAGCCTGGCACAATCCCCAGACTTTCTACCAGAGATGTAAACATCTCCATAGCGCCTTTAAATTCAGTAAAGCCTAAGCCATTTGGTTTTGAAGTGGACAGTGATCTATCTTCTCTAGGACCAGTAGGGATGAGGAAACGGAAGGTGATCCTAAGCTTTGTCTCCACCACGGGAGAAGCCTAATGAGAGACTGTGAAAACCTTGGCATCCCCGTTTCCCAACGGATACCTCCCTGCACGTCTCCCCAAGAGGCTAAGGAGGCTGCTGGCTTCTCAGAACTCAGATCTACTTCAGAGAGCTCAAGTAAAGACTCAAAACTTTCAAAGTTCTGTCGGGGTAGAACTTAAATTCTGCCCTTTGGGAGGATGCTCATGTCAATCAAGATGTCTGATTAGTGCCCGCTAGAGTGAGTCATACAGTCTCATGACTTGTCTGTTTGCCAAGCCGTTACAGATTGCTAAACCACGCAGCAGAAATATTAAAGTAAACACAGGTCAAATCATGTTCTCTCTAGAACCACAAGAATCACTGCTTTCATATGATTCGGTTCATTACAGAACCGAGGATCACACTTTTATCTTAGTCATCTCTGCAAATGCCATTTATTTGTTCGCAGCTATTTAACCCCAGAAACCTGGGACGGGCCTTGACCCCCACCCCCGACTCCCTTAGGACTGCTGTTGGCTTCTAACCCAAAGGGCGCTCTGTTTCCCTTTCTCTCTAATCAAGGACAGTTACCATCACCTTTGCTTGGGTCACACTCTGGTCTCCTTACTTCTAATCTCAAGCAGTAGCCTTCCATCTTTGGGGTGCACTGACTCCCAGTAGATGCCTAACACTCCAATAGTACAAACCCAATTTATACCCTGTTTCCCCCTACATATGATAAAATTTAATTTAAGAATTAGATAGAATAAGATTATGTATTATTATGTGTTAACTAATGAGATAGAATTATAGTATCTACCGTTATAAAAGTTGTTTACATATTACAAATTCCTATTTCCTAAATTTTTAATTTAATCTCTATGGATCTTGATTATCATGGGCAACGGAAATCACAAAAAAGTGAAATATGGCTAAAGGAGACCACTGGGATCTGTTTCCATAAATTCGTTTCTGACTCTACCAGGCTCCTTGCTGATCCCCACTTTCCTGACTGATTTCCTCCTGGGCCGCCTCTCTTCTCTTGGCCTCTGGCTTCCTTGGTATTCTCAGTCACATAAATGCCTGTCAAGAAGATGCGGGTCCCTTGGTTCCCAGCATGCCTGCCAAGGCTGCTTCCTTCTTCATCCCTAGCTGTCTCTAGAGTTGCTCACTTCTCTGAAGGCCTCATCTGGGCACCCTAAGAAGCTCCCCCATGTTCACTGTTACTGCCTCTCTCAAAAAGCACTTTTCACAAAAATTAATTGAACCTTGGTTAGATCTGCTCAACTGTAATTCAGTGAGGGTAGAGACCGTGCCTTTCCTCTGTCAACCGTAGTCACCTGGATGAAAGGAGACCGTCATTTCTCTAAGATGCCAGAGGCCAGGAGCAGGATACCAGAAGTACCCTGCTGCTGGACAGAGTTAAACCCAAGTCTCAGGCTTTGGCCAAGCAACTTAGGAGAGAGGCCAGAGAGCACTGGGGCTCTTAGTAACAGGTGTGAGACAGGGGCCCCTGAGTCAGGCCTGTGGAAGTTGCTCATTCACAGGTGTCGGAGAACCAGACCCTCCATCGTGCATAAGACCTGACAAGTCAGTGACAGAGCCTCCAGCAATGTACCATTGGCTGTGAGAAGGCTGAGGTCTTGGTCCCTTGAAAACAAACTGATGAGTTCTGGCCAAATCTATATGCTGCTATTCAGGGTGGCGGCCAGAACTCGGTCCTCAGGTGGTTGTGGGAATAGCAGGTAGTTTTGCAGGAGGGCAGCTGCTTTGGCATGTAATTGGGGTCTGGAAAACTGAACCTCGACTCAGTGAGTCTTGGCTTCCATTCAGTTTGGGCATACCTCGGGAGAAGACGTGAGCTCCGCCTGTGGCTTCTGTTATCCTGGGATACCACAGTTGCACCTTTCACCTTTCCTGACCAGACTGGGGGATTCACAGCCCACAGCGTCTGCCTCCCATATCCTTATCTTAGGTTACATTTCTATAAAATATTTGGAAAAGATGACAGGGAAACGGAACCTATCTTATCTATTGAACTTTTCCCATCTGCAGAAGCATCTGCCCGAATCACATCCATTCCCTGCAGGGAACAGAGACAACCACTACATCCTATTTCCCCCCAAAGCTCCCATCATACATGAGCATCTAGGATGAGGAGGTAGCCCTGCTTTTACTCAGGGACTCAGAGTCAAACACAGTTAAATAGATCACTGTTGTATTGTAAGGAGAAACATGTTTAAAAAAAATTTTTTTAAGTAAACACACCATTGGATGTTTATTTATAAAATCCCCAAGATTTTCAGCACCAAAAGATAAAACTGTCTTGTAAAAGGAATTTTTAAGAGGGGGGAAAAAAGAACCCTCATTTCGTGTCAAAGAAACTCCCCGCTCATGTGAACATTGTGCAAGATGGATGTTTTAGTGTCCCAGAGCCTGACATTCCTCAATAGGTGGGATGCTGATGACTCGGCATTTTGGTAATTGTGCACATACACTCCAGGCTTCAGAGCAAGGGAAATGGAAATGGAAATGCTTTTAATAAAAAAAGAGAAGAAATCAGTAACAGACGAGTGTCCCAGCAGCATGGCAAACTAGTTCAAGTTGTCTAATTCCCCTTGGCATTTCCTAAGAGCACAGAGGCACAGCTTGGGGGGATGAAGCAATGTGGAAAATCGTGAGTGCGGTGCGAGGAGGTCTGAATGCGGCAGATCAAACAGTGGTACACAACGCTGTTGGCCATGGGGATACCAACAAGAGCTGGGCCGAGTGGTCAGCATACCTCTGGCCTGCTTTTGGTCTTATGCCGGACTTTGTAGCTGGCTCTGGGGTGACTGGGTGGAAGGGGGCACCGTTTTCTACTTAGCAGTGCTCGCCGCTCTGGAGGAGGAGGACTGTCCTCCGTGTTGCAGCCAGTGTGTGACCAGCTTAGAGTGACTGAGGTTGGGTGGAGAAATGTGGGGTGGGGGTGGGAGGCGGACAAAGGCGTGGGAGAAGACTTCACATGCTAACTGATGGATGGACTCTCCTTCCATCTGTACTAACCCACGGGAGTCTTGAAGACTGTGACGCGGCTCTGGGGCTCTTGCATCACTTGAGCCTTTATCTAGGGCCTTCGCAACCCTACCCAGGGAGCGAAACTCAAAACTCACAAGGGTCATGCCTGACTCCCCTTTGGAGCATGAAGATTTGGGGAGCAGCAGGGCTCTGTGCCCGCCTGTCCACATCTTTTGGATCATCAGAGAGGGATGAGGGGCGATGGCTTCCTTTGGTCATGGTTCCTGCCACAGGCCATCTGTGTTCCCCAAACTAGATGGGGGTGGGGTTTAACTGCATAGGCTTGTAAGAGTACAAACTAAGACTATTAAAATTCATCATTCGTGGTAGTTTTTAACATCAGACAACCAAATGCCAAGAGCCAGGCCTCCGTCAAGCCCCACGTGAACTCTGCAAGTCAGCCCCAGTTACGATCCCACATGAACTTGCTCACGTTTCAAGGAGTCTTAATGGTTCCCAAATGTTTACTACACAAGAGCCAACCCCAAGGAATATTTCCACTTGCCACATTGTGCAAAGCTGAAAGATTATTTTTAGGGACTCCTTGTATATTCTGGGAGAAAATGCCATCATCTTTGATCTCAAAGCACGTTATGAATAGACAATTGAAGCCTTGGTTGTGGTGTCTCCTTCTCTGTGTTTCTGTGGATTTGGGAGGATTGCCATGGGAAAGTCAATATTATCTCCGTCAGGAGAAGAATGAAGGAATGAATTTGGTGAGAGGGAGTGATAACTGCAGAGGGGCCAATGAGAAGTTTCATTTTTAAACAAAAGCACCTGTAAAGTTAGCTAATTGCACCGCTCTCTGGAGATGGTCCATGGACCACTAAGCTCTCCTTAGTTCAGATTCACAGAAATGGCCTGTGGAAACTGATTTGCAATCACATGCTCAGTATTTTTGAAATATTTGGTACAAGGACTCTTGGACCCAGTCCAATGTGCACCATATTCATTAGCACGGCTAATGCAAGCACAAGGAAGCCCTCTAGGGGGTGCAAAATGCCTGCATGTAGAGATGTAGTAAGAGAAGGCAGGATTAAGGGACCTGGATTCATCCCTCTACCTACTTACACATACAAAACTGACCAAATAACTTAACCTCTGCGAGTCTGTCTCCCTATAAGAATTCTTGCCCATTTCCCAAAGTGGCTGTGGGGAGTAAGATAAGATGATGATTGCTTTTAAAAAATTTTCTTCTTAACTTTTAAAATGGACTTTAATGTGTCTAAACGTTTTGCCTGTGTGTATATATGTGCACCCTGTAGAAGGCCTAGGATCTGCTGAGGCCAGAAGAGGGCACTGGATCCCCAGTGTCTGGAGTTACAGAGAACTGTAAGCTGCCACATGAGTACTGGGAACTCAAACTGGGTCCTCTGTAAGGGCACCAAGTGCTCTTAACTTTTGACCTCTCTTTCCAGGACCCTGATTTCTTTTAAAACTCGGTATTTCTAGGGCTTATCTTTTTCCCTATGCAAGACAGACTAGGCTTAATGTGTGTATAAGAGACCAGCAGCAAGAACGGAGGGAAGGACAGAAGGAGAAGGTTGGCTACTTCTTGCTTTCTCTCGCTGCACCTATAACTGGTCCATCCTGCAGGGCTGAACCAAGACCTGGAAACGGACGGCCTTGTTCTCAACTTGTTTGTTCCTGGTTTCCTGTTGGGTTGAATATCCACAGTCATGGAGAATGGGGGTAAGGCTGAAAGAACTCTCTGGGGCACACATCAGCCAGAGTAGGAGAAGCCTCTGCCTCTGGTGGGAGGAGAGCTACAAATCACGAGAGAGTCTGTTTATTCTCCTGCATTGGGTTACCGAAGTTTTTCATAACAAATATTGTGAACTACCACGATCCTTTACACTGGGAAATTGCAACTGGGAAATTGTCTGGCTAGTTGAGGGTTAATTAAAAAGAAAAATATATGGCTGCTTGGATTCTTCTGGTTTAAAAATTCTGTAAAAATATGCACCCCCTTGCTTTCTGCAGCTCATCCACAGTGCACTCTTAGCATACTCCAAGATTTGAGGGCCCACACTGTGGCCATTTCTGATTCTGCTGGCATGTGGGGCTAGACCACTTAGCTGGTGTGGACCCAGACTGGCATCTCACATCAGCTGTTCTAGCCGTAGCCATTGGGAAGGCATGGGCTCTCACAGAGCAGGAAAAGCTTTGCTTCTTAGTGGAAAATTACCATCCACAGAGAGAGAGAAAACATTGGTGAAATCTGAGAAGGTGGTTAACTTGTCTTGAACAGATAAACATGGGAACCAGATGGTTTTTGATGGGAAAATGTGATGTTGGAGAGATGTTAGAATAACTATGTTTGAAGTTATGAATATGAGGCTTGAGGTCTCAGGACATGGTCTCTCCAGTGCAGAAGGTCAACTAAGCAGACACAACGGGGTTTTGGATCACTTAGGATGTGGTGGGTTTGGGTAGGGAAACAAAGATAAAGAAACCACAGGGAACCGGGCTTTTTAACGGCAGGAAAATTTATCTAATAAATTCCTGCTTTGGGCCTCACTCCATGGTACCAAGAGAGCAACTTCTAAAGATAGAAACAACACAAACAGCTATTTAATTATTCAGATTTACTGTACCCAGCTCAGTCGTTGGGTTATTGAGTACTCTGTTAGGCTTTACTTGATTTAAAAAAAAAATCAAATTTTATTTCATTAACACGAGGAGTTAAACCTAATGAAAAGCTGTTTGGGCATCTTTATGTATAGTAGTAGCCTTTGTATGGCCAGAACCAGAGGAAGTGCAACTGTCACTCAGTATATTACTAAGAGGAGGGGGATGGCTTAGTGTCTAGTTACACAGAAGCAAAGGTGGAAGAAAAGAGGGGTAGGAGGTAGGACATTGTCCCATCACTCCTCCTCCTTTTCTCCTGCTGTACTTTTTATCCCTCCTCTCTGCAGAGTCAAGTTCTATGGAAGTACTCACACCCTTTCTCACCTCAACCGCTATACCATGCATAGACACAGCTATACCCTGACAGGGAAATTCCTAACTGACGCTGTGCAAACGGGCACTATTTGCGAGATACACTATGCTTTAGTCATCGCTGGCGGCCTGCGGGTAGAGACCAGTTCTCATGCTGGACAGTGAAGGAGACCAAATGCCTCCCGCTAACCCCACTGGATCTACAGAGACCTGAGATACTCATGCATGTTTACCTGGGGAGCCTGCCAGAGAGTCCCCTCTGCTGAAGGCGAAGGTACGAGACACAGAGACAGGCACTAAAGAGTCGGGGCCAAGGATATGTGAGTAGCAAAAGGGAAGATAAACAGAAAAGAAAAGAGACAAAGAGCAAAATGGGTGAGACAGTCTGTTCCTGGTCCTTCACAATATCACATTTCTTGGCAAAAATAAAACCTTGCTTTGGAAAGCGCAGGAATGGCATGTTTATGGAGTCATTCTCGAGAGACAAAATAAAATGAACTTCACTGAAGGTCTCCTGAAAGGATATGCAGTAAGCTCAGTGGGAATCACAGGTGCCAGTGACGAGCACAGCCAGTGCCCTCGGAGGGTGGGAGCAGAGAAGCAGTGTTGTCTCTGAGGTGCCCGCCTTAAGCTTGCAAACCTGCTGGAGCCCAGCACTTTCCGCTGCCCTCTACTCTACCAGTCATGTCACAGAGCCTGCTCAACTACAGGAGAGAGCCTGGGTAGGCCCTCAGAGGCCAGGAACTGCATGCTTCGGAGGGCATCTGCTAGGAGGCTGGAGCCTGCCTGGGCACTGCTGTTTGTGGCCTGAGGCCTCTGGCAAGGGAGGGCAGGATTCTAGTAGCTCAACTGTGAGTCAACTTTATGAATCAAATCACAGTTACTTTCTAGAAATCACAAGAGTTCCAAAGTACCTCTTTCTTTTCTTCTCTTGTCCCTCCCTCCCCCTTTCTCTTTTCCCAGAGTCAGAAATGGTGCTGGCCAGCATTCATGCCTTGGTGGAGCAGACTGCACAGGACTCCAGTCCTTTCTTCATGTTAATCCTGATGCACTGGTCTCTACATAGGGCTCTCTCTGTCTTAGCTGATCATTCTCTGAGTCCCTTCCTAAGATCCAAATGAAACTAGTCTGTAGGATGAAGGCACACGAAATAGGCAGCGTCTGTGTCCTTATCTTCTGTGCCACAGATTTGATCTGAAATTACTATCCATGCAGGGGAACAGGAGGGGCTTTTATACCTAGGTGGAACCCATCAGTTCTGCCATAGGATGTTAATGAGTGTTTGAACTGGCCTATGCTCAGAGACACACTGGAGCAAGAGACCCTAATTTCCAGGAGCATCATCATTCTTCCTAAATGAAATGTCATCGTGCTAAGCAGAAAGAAGGCTCATTCCCTCTGCTGCGTACCTCTGTGTGCTCCTGTTACACCTGAGCTCATGTGAGGACCCTCTAAAATCATGGGCTCCTGGACGCCTTGATAATCAGAATCAAGGTAAAAAAATAGAGTGAGAGCCGGGCACAGTGGCACATCTTTAGTCCCAGGAGACAGAGGCAGGCAGATCTTTGTGGGTTTGGGTCTACATAGCGTGGTCTACGCCAGGCTTCATAGTGAGACGCTGTCTCAAAATGGGAGTCGGGTAGGATGGAGTATGGATTTCACTCTCTGTGCCACACTCAGGAACGCCTGGGAGAGTTCTCAGATTCAGTGCTGGGACACAAATCCCAGGTGTTCCCACAACTGAGTGACTGAGCGACCCAGCTGTAGCCTGCTGGGCCAAGACCCTACGAGAGTTTCCTGCCCTGTGGTTTAGGCTTAAGCTCTCCCTCCAGTACATGCTGGTGCTCTTGGCTAGTAATGCGTGGAGCTGGGTGCACCTGAGCCTCAACTTCAGCACCAGTGCAGGGAGCAACACCGGGTGTGGGCGGCTCCCCCAGGAGGAAGGATGTGATGGTCAATGCTACTTATCCTTCCTGACTGTGAATAAAGGCTCAGAAGCATGGAAAGGAAAGAGAATTTAATACTTCCCTTTAGTTAGTTAACTTAAACACAAAGCATAATGTCTCATGTGTATGGAAATGCCATGATAAGACCCATTACTTTGTGTGTTAACTAAAAAAATTAATGTATGAGGAAGAAAAGACCACTGTTGCAGGTTTACTCATTTTTCACTGGTAAATTTGAAGGATTTTTGATAGAGTCATAGGAAGTCAGATAGTATTTTCTTAGTTGAAGTTGTTTTTATATTTATTTATTCGTGTGTATGTGTATGTGTGGGTGGGTTTGCCACAGCGTGTAGATGAAGGCCCCTTATCTCCTTTTCCAATGAGAGCTCCAGGGACCAAATTCACCAGAGTCAGCAGACTCAGCAGCAAGTGTCCTTTCCTGCTGAGCCACCTTGCTGGCCCTCTTTATAAAGAAAGTCCTATGAACTGGGGAGGGGAGGAGGATGGCAAGACTTATGAAGCTTGTTTTTTTTTTTATTATTTTTTTAAGTTTTCGAGACAGGGTTTCTCTGTGTAGCCTTGGCTGTCCTGGACTCACTTTGCAGACCTGGCTGGCCCTGAACTCACAGAGATTCCCTTGCATCTGCCTCCCTGACTTTTTTTTTTTTTTTTTTTTTTTGAAGAGTTAGAACAGAGCCAGAACTTCTAGGTCATATCTTCGAGTCCCAAGAGCAGTCTCTAATGTGATGCATGGGCACTGTTCTGAGAATGAAGGTAACATTGAGGACCAGAATGTTACCTGGTCCTGAAAACTGCCCCTCGTCTGTTCAACTCTCTACACTGAATACTGTGCTTTTATCAGCCTTGCTTGACAGTCATTGGCTGACATAAATACTATATTATATCAGTTTCCTTTTTTCCTTCCTTCCTTCCCTTCCTTCCTTCCCTTCCTTCCTTCCTTCCTTCCTTCCCTCCCTCCCTTCTTCCCTCCCTCCCTCCTTCCCGCCCTTCCTTCCTTCTTTCCTTTCTTCCTTTCACCAGATTTCCTTCAGCTCAAATTCTATATCTCTGTGGGCAGAAGAGATACTTAGGACTTTATTTCAGCCTTCTGGTGGGCTAGGAAGTAAAATGACATGGTAAATTATTCTGTCATTTCCATATAGCAATTGAATTCTGGAACACAGTGGATCTAAAATCTGTATTCATTATACTGTGTGAACTAGTCATGACACAGGAATGGTCCCATCTACGTTAAGTCATCAACTGGCTGGGTCATTTGGAACAAATAATTTCTTTACTTCTTATTATCAAAATTTTAATTAGTAATATTTATTATCTATTTTGTGGGGCTGGGATTTGAACTCACGCCTTGCCTGTGCTAGACAACTGCTTGACCACTGCTCTATACACTCAGCCCTTTTTTTCTCATTCCGAAGTGATATCTACTTTGCTGTTCTCGGCATAGGAAGCTTCAAAGCCCTGTGATAAATTCCAATATAAAACACTCTGTAAAATCCCTTTGATGATGGAAAGAGATGCCCCATTTGACACTGAAGTGGCCACTGCACTCCTTTAAACCAATGAGTCTAAAGGAAATCAAGAGAAAATTCTCTCTGGATCACATTTAGGTCCCAATAGAAGCCATGCCATCTACACACAAACACACCAATTCTGCACAGAATCTAGCAAGAACGTACAGCGCAGAAGGGCAGATCAAGCCAGCCAGCCCTGTGCCAGCCCCTGCCCCCAAGCAGCGTGCACAGCCAGCTGGCAGCCACCTCCTCACCGACAGAGAGGTTGTAAGCAAGGAAAGAGCAGCTCAGCCACAGCTCGCACCAGCCTTGATTTACAACACTGAATGTCACAGTCACCCGCCCCACGCACTCCCCAGGACAAACGTCACAGACAAAAGCCACTGCGCTTCAGGCAAAGGCCAGGGCTGAGTTACCACATCGCTGAGAAGGAAAGACTGTACCGCCACTAGAGCACAGGGATCAACTGCCTGCATTCCCCAGCAGGTGACAACTCACAGTGCCCATCCACGCACCTACCCTCCTCTACTTCACTCATGTGTGAACAGAGAAGCCACAGTGCGCACTCCAGACACAGGAAACGTTAAGCCTCCGTGCTCTGTGGGTACCTGGCGGGAGGCAGGGTTCCTGGCAGAGCATTGTACAGAGGGTGCCAGCACTCGTGCTAACCCAGCCCATGTTCAAATAGCTTGGTTCAGATTCCCAAAGTGGGCTGAGGCAGGACCATGACGGGGAAGACGAGGGAGGGGTTTGAGAGATACATACGAAAGACAGAGGATCCAGCCAGACTTCCAACCTTCCGCACGTCATTATCTAAGGACAGAAGGAGGCAGTGGGATTCAGAGGTAATTCAGAAAACATAACTTCTTAAGAAAATCGCCACGTCTATTCCACCCCAGCACCAATTAACCCTGCAGAAATCAGACAATCAAACAGGAGGGTAGGGAAGAGCGGTGGAAGGTGAAACAAAGTGTCTTCATACGGAACAATACAGTCTCCATCCTCCTCAGTGCTTGCTACATGATTGCCTTTTCCCCTCCCAACTCAAGTTTCTTTTGCTTCTTTTTTAAAGCTAAACAAAATCTGAATGAAAAGTTATTTTTATTTTACAGAAGGAAGCTAGAGCCAAGGAAGTTAAACCGCTTAGCAGAGTCATGACTTAAGCCTAGGCTTTTCTTTTCCTTCCTTCCTTCCTTTTCTTCAGAGACAGGGTTTCTCTGTGTAGCCTTGGCTGTCCTGGACTGCCTTTGTAGACCAGGCTGGCCTCGAACTCACAGAGATCTGCCTGCCTCTGCCTCCCCGACTGCTGGGATCACAGGCGTGCACCACCACGCCCTGGGAACTGGAATACCTGAGCAGGCAGTGGTCATGATGGCTGGAACACCATAGTAGGTGAAGGCTCCGTTCTCAAAGCGAAGGCCTTCCTTACCAACCTCCACTTCCACTTTGCCCTGCAGAGAAAAGGAGTGTGAGGAGGGTGCTGGGGTGTGACGGCCTTTCCAGGTCTTATGCCTGCTCAGACCCTAAGGACTTCTGCGTGCATGACCAGCGGACTCACACAATCTGAGGGCAGTGTTAATTCCACCCAGATTTACATTACAGAAACAGAACCTCCCACTTTAGAAGCCCTTTGCAGTTAATTCACTGCTTCATCATCAGTCCTAAGGTAGCACCTGGTCATGACAACTAACCAGGATTCCCTGACACATGGTAACGGCCTTTCCAGAACACACATCTGAAGCACCGGCTCAGCCAGACCCTGCATATGGCTTTCCTGACTTAGTCTCTCAGATGAGACCATTTCTGAGTCTGGCTGAGACAGAATCTAATCTTGTTGACAGTGATAGCTAATATTCAGGGTCAATGATAGTGATAACTAATACGTGTGTGCGCGCGCGCGCACCTTGTAGAGTTTCACTGTCAGCCTTGCAGGGTTTCTCTTTGGAGCCCTGGCTGTCATGGAACTCACTCTGTAGATCAGTCTGGCCTCAAACTCTGAGATCTGCCTTCCTCTGCCTCCCCAGTGCCGGGACTAAAGGCGTGTGCCCCCATGGCTGGCACCTTTGACCTTTTCAAACTAAACATTTGCAAATGGATGGATTGTGAATTCTTGACAAAAATGTCAACAGCTGTTCAAGCTAGGTAATAATTACATTCTTCTTCTTTCTATTTTTGGCTGATTTTCTATAATAAAACGTTTAAAATAAACAGCACCACCTGGCATATACAACACTTTTATGTCCAGGTGACAAACGCACTGATTCAGGCTCATAGAGGTTAACTGGCTTAGTTAGGATTTGTCAGCAAATAGAAGCAATGGCATTTTAAAGGCAAACCCTTTCAAATTCCTGAGTCTACCTTCTATCTACCACGTTTTATTCCCTTCAGCTTTTTATTTGACAACCTTTGGTTAAGCATAAGTTGAAGGGCTGCATGTGTCCTTGCATTATATAAACAATGTAACAGGATCGGTCTCTAACAGTGAAGAAGATGACCCCATTTTGGGGGGTAAAACAATCACTTTGTTGAGGTTACTTGGAATGATATATAGGAGACAAATCGCAGTGTCCGGAAGGACAGGCTGAAGTGGACTGTCACAAACAGAGGCTAGTTCTAACTCAGCGTGATCTTGCCTGGGATATTAAAGCCATCACTGTTTTCAGGGTCTATAAAACTCTGCTGGGAAGAGACAGGGATGGAGCCAGTGACAGAGCTCATGGTGGGGGCCAGGACACGGCACAGCTGTGCTCCAGTGGAACCAGGCCTGGCGCTTCTAATTAATTAATTGCTAAGTAGCTCTGCCTGCCCCCAACCCAGTATGGAGATCAGACTGTCCTCCTCACCACTCTCCTCCTGCCTTTGCTTCTTGAGTGCTGGGATTTCAGGCATGTGCCATCATGCCCAGCTGTGACACGTACTTAAGACAGACCTATTCAGGTACCCAGGGAAGGAAACTGTTGTTATGTAAGTCCTGGGAAGGTGGGACTGTCTTTCATTCAGCCATTGCCTTCCTCCCTGGTCCTCTGCAGAGGGAAATGTCTCCAGAAACCACAAAACATGAAGTGTGGCGCAGAGAATAAATGTATTCCACGTGCTCCAGGAGGCAGAGCAAGGACCAGTGTGGAAGCCAGGGAGGCTGAGCATCAGCCCAAGAGAAGAAAGGGTTTAACAAGAATCATCTACATCCCAGGAGACAGTGGGGGATACTCAAGCAGACACCCAGAGATATCACAATTCCTCGGGGTCCTTTCAGTTCAGAAGCGGAACGCCGTTACTGAACATACACACTCTCACTGTCCCCAAACGTGCTTGATTAAAGACCATCAAAGAAACTACAGCTCCCAGGATACCACTGTTCCACGTTCCCATGGCTTTCCTGTGGGTAATGTGGGGGTGCCTACCCCACTGGCCTTGTTCTCTATGCGCCTTGCACTGAGAGAAGAGCAGCTTCAGACATTTCCCTTCACCCTGCTGGTGCCCTCCTCTTGCCCTTGGAAGTTCCCTGACCTTGACACTGACCTGTAAAAGCAGCACAAAATAGTCCACAGGGCGGCTGCGCTGGTAGAGGTAGTGTTCAGGGGCTTTCTTGTTCCTCTCATCAAACTTCAGCTCCTGGATCACGTTGGGGTGTTTCAGAAGCCGGAGCAGGATCTTCTCCGAAAGGAACGGAGCCTTAAAGGGCTCCACTTCTAGAAGGCAGCGGGGGGGGGCGGGGTGTGTGGACAACAGCACTTCTGCGACTCCCCATTCCAGCAGCGGAAGCTGCAGGAGGCAAGTGCAGCACCTGGGGTTTCATCTGGAGCAAGCCCCTACCTAGGCTGCAGGTTCCACAAGTCCCTGGGATTGAGGAATTTTCATCCCCAGTGTGCATCCTGGGGCCTTCCCTTTGCCTGCTGGGGATGACTGTTGCTTCCTCGGCATCTCAGGAGAAACAGGTCGCCATTGGGGAAATGTCAAGTTTTGTTATGACTTTTCTCCCTGATTTTATTTAGAGTTGGACCGACCTGGACAACTAAGTCATGGACACAACAGGTCTTTAGTTTTACAGAAGGACACACAGATAATTGAGCCTGGCTTATCTAGGTAACATTCACCTGCTGGATGAAATGAAATCCCAAATTACTAGAGACAGGTAATCACATAAATAGTAAGCTGCCGTTAATGTAAAATAGCATTTGTCACGCTTACCCGTTAATAGGTACTCTATATTGATACTTGCAGTGCTATACTAAGCAGGTAGAGATGCTTTGCTTTGGGAAGTTGATCCATGACTAAAAGGAAGCATACTCAGAACAAGATTACTTGTTGAAAGCATTACTGTAAGGCGGCTTTGCTTTATAGCTGCCCACCTTCCAGCACCTGGAACAGTGCTGGCCAGCACACATTATGTCCTCAATAACTATGTATTGTGTTAGCTAAAAATGGAACTCGGTCTTGGACTGATCATTGTAGGTCAGCATAGTAATTAGGGCTGAGTGAAGTCAGAGAGCTTGAAGGCAAATGCTATCCTTTTCACAAAAGGGAGCTTGATTCCTTTACCTGCTTTTCTTTCTAAAGGTACCGGGATCCCCACCCCAGTTCTCTATTTTATGAACTAGTAGTTCATGGGCCTCTATGACTCCTGGAGAGGACCAAATCACAAGGGCTTGTTGCTTGGTACGTTAATGCTGTTCCCTCTGGGACAAAGCTCTGGGGTACCCCAGGCCCAGAAGGATGGAGGTGATTGGCCTCAGGCTCCAGATAGGAAGTGAGCAGAGGAAATGCAAGTACCACAGTGATTTCCTTAGCCCCCTAGAAAGGAGAGAACTCACTTCCTCTCTACATCAGGACAGGGAGCCTGGGGCTACCATGTGACCTCACAAGAGGCCACCTTCTTCCTCAAACAGTGGCTTTCAGTGGCACACAGGACTAGAGATGGAGGATATTAAGATACATGGTACCTGGTGCCATGCTAGATTCTACTAGAAGTGCTAAGGAAGGGGGTAGGTGGGGTAGGTCCTACCTGTGGCCATGAAGCGGTGTGTGGCAAGCAGCAGTTGTGGTGAGATCTTTACTCTGATCTCTGAGTCTGAAAGCTTGAACAGAGAAAAGTCATGCCGCCTCCTCTCCCGGTGCGGGACCCTCTGCTTTTTCCGATTGTCAGCTATAGGGTCACAGGGGAAATATGACACTCAGAATCACTGTTGGTTTTTGGATGTTTACACAGATTCTGCAGTGCCAACCTTAGAAGGCATGACTAGCTCTTTCCTAGTAGGAGATGGCAGATAGCAGATGGGCCTGTGTTGTGCTTAGGCGGTAGATGAAAATCTGGCTGGGGGTTCCCAAGCTCAGAGTTCTAGGGCTGGTCCCCTTACCTGATAGCTGTGCAAACTATACATCTGTTGTAGGATATTTCATCACATCAAGAACCCCAAGATTGTGAACTGGAAAAACCTGTTTCTTGTTGTGGTATGGCTCAGCCCTAGTACACACCTTTAATCCAAGAGCTTCTGTAAACAAGAGCTAAATAAAGTCAACTATAGGTCAAGAGGCAAGGCAAGCAACCAGTTGACAGGGAGTGAACTAAGTAAATACTGGAAGGAGGGACACTGAGTTGAAGGATTTTTAAGACAGCATGGAGAAGGGGGTTTTCACCAGTTGAGTAGGAAGGTCAGCTGGGTGCTTTTTCTGCCTTTCTGAGATAGCAGGCTTTCACCCCAATATCTGGCTCCTGAGTCTTTATTGGTAAAATCGGACATTTGGGATTTTGTTTTTAAAACAACATGCATCATAGTTTCTGATTGTTTTAATCCATATGAGAGAGCTATTATATTTAATAGCTTTTCTACCTATGCAGTTATTGTGAGACTCCAACAAGCAACTATGCATGACAGTGTTTATACAAAGTCATATAAACATGAGCTGCTGGTATTTTTGAGTTTAAGGGGTTTGGTTTCTCCCTGTGCCCTCTTCCATCCTCTGGAGCTGGGTGCATCTTGTGTCTTTTCTGTGAATTTAAGCCACACTCTGAGTGTCACCTAAGGTATGCCACTTTCTTACCACTCATAATTCTCCTGCTTCCCCTCAGACTCTCTGGAGAAATAATCATGAGAAATACAAGGGAAAATAAAGGAAAAGGAGTAAGAATGTGTGTATAATTTCTAAAAAGGCAGATTCTCCAGATGAGGATTCAGGCAGAGCCTGGCATCTCAGAGCCTGTACACTGGTCATGTATCTATTCACTGAGAAACTTGCTTTCTCCTATTTACTTCTTACTTGCTTTTTAGAAGGAAAAATCTTTATAGTATACACATGTATAGTTACACATTTATATACATATATACAGGCGTATGTGTATACACATACATATACATGTAATTTTTTAAGTGGGGGAAGTGTTTCTTTTGATTACTTCTCTTGCTTTCCCTGAGTGTTGAAAAAGATTGAAAGTGCTAACACACCTCATCTGCACTGAGGGGAGGGGAAAGTGATGTGTCTCCTCTTCAAATGTGGCCTGGAAAACAATAGGGCTGCAGAGGCTTGTAGCACAAGTGGACCTGACACACTAGAAACTAAAGGGATGTGTCCTCCCAGTGGGAAACCAGGCCCCCAGACCCCAGCTTCCTTGCCCCCTACCCTCTTCTTTTGGAGCTTGCTTCTTTCAGACCTTTGGATTTTTCTCCCATCTACACAGCTCTTGTGGGCTTGCCTTTGACACTGGGCCTTTGCAGGCACCTGGCTCCCACCTCAACACTACTTTTGCTCTGTTTGAGAAGATTAGAAGATTCCAACCCAGGTATCCAGAGTGTGTAAAAAGTCACAGTCATGTGAGAAGAGGCACGGTATTCTAGGCTCCTCTGTTTTTTCATGGCTCTTAAGCATCTGTTTGGGACCCCCGGCCCTCTCCTCTAGAAAGAAGTGCACCTAGAAAATGAGCATCAAGTAGAGATTTAGGACCCATTTTCTCTGCTCTCACTAGCGAGAGGCTGTCTGATTTATATGAGGTATTTGCTTATGTGTCTGTCAGCATGTCATTAGCCTTTCCATGTAGTGATATTCCTATAATCTCTCCCTTTATTACTCTGATTTTAACAGTGAGGATTTGAAGCATTAGTGTTATTTAAACCAATATCCCAGTAGCCTTCCACCAGCCACTAACACTTTAGAGTAGTCTTTCCATTTAGAGATAGCTGGGAATTCCAGAGCAAGGATGGTGGGCAGAGAAGGGAGCCTGGAATGAGAGAGGTCCTTTCTGAGCTCCGTCTTATTTGCAAATGCTCAGTATAGCATTACCAGGTCCCCGAAGGGGGTGTGTGTGCTATGACATTCAGCTAGTTTTCAGTAAGGGCTGGCCCATGTTTTAGATGTGATCTCTTCTTGGCCCAAAGGTATCACTGCCATATGGTATCAAAGCTGTCTTCTGGGAGGAAGCAGCTTCTGGAAGATTGTTCTGGCAAACTGAGGGTGCTCATCTCAAATGAGTTACCCCTGGGAAGGGAAAGGGATGGCTATCTAGGAGATGAAACTCTGAGGAGGAAACATTTCCTGGCCAGGGACTCCTGTGGATTTAGATAACATTCCAGTTCCGCAGACAGAGCAAGCCTGTGTATTGCTGGCAAGCGCGGCTTTGATGAGGCTCATGGGCCGAAAGCTTTCACCGTCTGCAAAGAGGAGTACATGCTGTTCCTGAGGGTTGCGGGGAGAGGAAGAGCCCAGGGAGAAGCAGGAACAGGAGCCACGTGGGGATTTGATCCAGGATCCAGGAAAGAGAAAGGGCAACTTGGTTGGGCTGCTAAAAGGCAGGAGGGACAAGAACAGTATCCAACAAGGGGCATTTAAGTTTTTGGCTTGGGCAAGGGGCAATGCCATGACAGTGTTCATTGCTCACTGGTGGTTGGGTGTGAGAGGAGTTCAAGGAGGATCTGGGCTGTGCCTCTAGGGAGACAAAGAACCAACATGGGAACAATGCAGGGACACACCAAAAAAAGAGCAGAGAGGCTCCTGGGCCGCCTCTTGGGCATACTGTATTTTCCTTAGTCCATTTGAAGGCCTGGCTACCTTTTCCTAGTTCTGATTGTGTTCTGGAAAGTTCCCTTCTGCTAACACATCACCAGCATGTTCCCAGTGACTCAGGATGATTTGACCAGGGTATCCTGCCTGGGTGGGGGCGAATGACACACAGCAGTGCACAGACTTGCCTTGACACCCTTTCATGTTGTCAATCAAACCGATGCCTTCCTGGGAGTCTCACAGGAGAGTCGGACGACCCTGAGACACACTTACTGTAGAGGTCGGTCTCATCCAGGATCTCCGACTTGATAATCTCTTCTATGATGTCCTCCAGTGTGACAATGCCCATCACCTCATAGAACGGGTCTCCTTCGCCCTCATTGTTCACTCTCTGCACAATAGCCAGGTGAGATTTTCCTGGAGAGCAAACGAAGCTACAGTTAAGCATCTGGATCATTTCCAGAGAATTCTGTTCGTAAAAACAAAACAAAACAAAACAAAACAAAACAAAACAAAACAAAACAA